ACAAAAAAAAAAAAAGTGCACTCATATCAATCTATTTGATGTTTGATGATCTTTGGCTTTTTCTTTTGTCTCGCAACTACACATGAACTTGTCCAGGCGGTTCAGATGAGACTTGTCACGACTGTTGACATAGGGCCCAATTAAAGGGGAGGATTAAACCAGGGCTGGGTGACCTCTTTCGGAATCTCTCCAAAATACTCTGTGTACACTGTCAAACCCTCTGACAGACCTTCCCCCTAAAGCACTTTCACCTGCTAATTAAAGACACCCATGCGCAGTGTAGTGTGCGCTTGTGCTTTCATTCACAGCAAATTCGAGACAAATGTGCCCGTCCGTCTGTGTCAGCGACAGATTTGCAGCCCGAGTAGCATCTGTGTAAATATTTGAAATTTTGTAACATTGTATGGCTCTTTCTGGCGTACGTTCCGACACCCGTCGAGTACGCAGGCAAACAGACAGGGTGTTATTTATGCGATGAAACGATTCGATGCTGCGGCGCATGCATCTTATGGGTATGCGCGTCGAGGCTCTTCTGCAACAAGGGTCGAGCGGTGTTTATGCTTGGAAGAGATTAAAATGGATAGTAAAGAGCAGTGAGCTGGAGCTGGGCAAAGCTCTCAATGCTCTGTGACTTATTAGTGCTGTGTCACAGCGGTCTCGTATAGAATTCGGACAACAAAGGTCTGTCGTAATGTCATTGTCGGACGTGAGGCTGAACGTGTGGCCGAAGGGTCCATTTTTCACTAAAAAAAAAAAAAATGTAGACAGATATTGTTCAATTCAAGATGTGAACGGTGTAAAAACTGAACTTGACAACGTAAAATCGGAATTATTCATTTGTTTCGAATTATTTGTGACCAGTGTTCCAAATCCAAAGTGCCTCAGGTTCCCCCCTGTTGAATGTCAATGAGCGACTGTTCGTCCTAACCGGCTGACCGGGGGCGGAGTTAAAGGTGGAGCTTGTTGTGATTAAGCCGCTGTATTACATTTTCAGCTGTATGGTCATGCAGAATGGTGGCTTTTTTTTTTCGTTGCAACAGGAGAGCTTGAAATATTCTCTCAGTGTTTGTTTTTTGTTGTGATATTTCTGGAAATGCAGCAAGACAGTGCCACTGGTGTGTGGCTCTGTAGGCACTTTAGGAGTGCAAAAGAGAAGACAGACCGGGGGAGTTGGCGTAATAATTTAATCTAGCCACTGTATTTGTGAGTGGCCACACATCAAGCAACCAGATCCTATGTCTACATCGCAGGTGTCAAAGTCAAGGCCCGGGGGCCAAATATGGCCCGCCACATCATTTTATGTGGCCCGCGAAAGCAAATCAAGCATGTCAACTTCTTGAACAACTTATCGGGTCTTTGATTGCTCCTGACGGGCATGCATCATATTCAAATTGAGAAGACACTTGGAAAAAAAAATAATACAATCACGCTCAACGGTTTGAACATTAAATATCTTTTCTTCCAAATGTTTTTTTTTTTTAAATACGTTCGGAAAGGGTTTAAAAATCATGGTTCTGTTTCCATTTACAATACATTATACAAAACACACCAAATCATCAGAGTTTGGGTTCGTATATGTGCACTCGCAAACCAATGAAGGGTCTGTACTCAAAATTCAGTATGCCACTTAAGTAGGTGATCCGGTGAGCTGAGGAAATTACTTCATATTGTTGTTGTATCATTACATGACTAATATGTTCCCCCACCTCCCGCACTAGAACAACAATAGCTGTTTTTAAAGCACTCAAACAGTCTTTACTGTAAATGGTTTTTGTGTCACTCGTTTATGTATTACTTTACATTCCAGCCTCAAATGAAGCGAGTGGATAAACAACCACAGAGAAGGTCTTGGCATGACCAGTAGACATCCCCTTGTTGACGGATGGTTTGGAGGAGAGCGGGCAAGCAGCTTAGTTCTGCTCTGACAAATGTCTGGCTGGTATGTAGGAGCTGGAGGAAAGGGGTGACTTGTTAAATACAGAGTGGAGCATCTGCATCAAACTGCTGATAAGATAATCCCGCAGCTCAGCTGCTGGGAGAATGACTAAACTGCCAATTCTATTGCACGGTGCCAGTCAGACTCATAACTGAAATTCGACTGATGTTTTTATAACTGTTCAGTTATTTCCGTTTCTTCGCGGTCCTCTGAATCGGGATCATCACTCAGCATGGAAGAATTACTTGGTTTTGTACTCTTTGATTATTTATTGAGGCACACAGCAGGTACACAGCAACTACAAAACTAATGTACCTATCGTCATGCATCACAATTTAAATAATGTAAGTGATAGATATGAATTTGTAAGTTGAGGGGTTCGTTGTTTTTCATTGGATGGCTCTTCTTTACGAATGACAAAAGGAGAGATGGAATCCTTGAATGCAGTTTATTAAAAGGAGAAAGAAAAAAAAACGTCTGCACCTCCGAACGGATGAACGAGAACAGACCCCCCTTTCAGTCACGAAAGCACTTCCTGTTTCTCTTTAGCCAATCAGACGCAAGCAACATAAGACTGTTTCAACAATCATTAAACAGAATATAATTTAGATAACTATAACATAAAAGAATATAATGCTCAAATATAAAATGAAAATAATAATTTAACATAAGCTTACAAATTCATTAACTTAATACCTTCATCTTCACAATAATGTGGTCAAACTAAATATTAACAATCGTGATTTTATCACAATGTATTGACTTTTAGCATGACGTACTGTCATTGTCATCGTTATTATTCGTAATATTTTACATTTAATCTCAATTATTCCTCGTCGAAAAACAATGAGTAATCATACAAGTGGCACCTGAAAAAAAGGACTACAAATCCCAGCGGTCGAGCCCGAAAGCAAAGCGCCAGTACGATTAACTCCGTAACGCAATACCGTCATTCAAACATTCCAGTGCAACCGGACAAACGTGACATGGCAACACTCCAACAAAACAGAACCAAGAATGGACACCACTGCGATTGCAAGCCTTAACTTGATCATTTTTGCCCACGTCGTTTCAACGCTACTCGAGCGAGTCTTTGCACCGCCGATTGCGACTGCGAACAGCAAGTAACGTTCAGCGATGCAGCAAACAAAAAGCGCGACTGACGCAAAGCAAAGCGGACAAACAAAGCAAAGAAGCCAGCATGATTGATTCTAAAAGATAATTCTCTAGATCTGACAAAGAAAATCGGACATAACAAACGTAGCTTACCATTGGGGTAATGCTGCCGAAGTGTTTTTTCCTACTGAACCAAACTGCGACACCTTTTTTTTTTTTTTTTTTTTAATACGTCAGGTGAATGGTCACCTGTCGGTGGGCGGCCCCGCCCCATTTTAATGCCCCAGGTAAATCCAACAATAGCGCTGCTTTGCCTTGTTCCATGACATTGTCATTTCGACGCAGATGCACATTAGGTAAGGCTACAAAAAAAAAATAACCATTTCCAGAATAGCAGAAAAAAAGCAAATAATGGTGGAGGCCAATAATTTTCATCAGTGCTTCTTGGAGTCTGGTAATATTATTCCAAATGTGCATTGATACATCCATTCATCCATTTTCCGATCCGCTTATCCTCAGAAGGGGGGTGCTGGAGCCTGTCCCAGCTGTCTTCGGCAGTAGGCGAGGGACACCCTGAACCGGTTGCCAGCCTGCACGGCCAATCGCAGGGCACACAGCGACAAACAATTATCCACGCTCACGCACCTAGGGACAATTTAGAGTGTTCAATCAGCCTGCCATGCATATTTTTAGAATGTGGGAGGAAAACAGAGTACCCGGAGAAAACCCACGCAGGCCCGGGGAGAGCATGCAAACTCCACACAGTGAGGCCGGAGCTGGAATTGAACTGCACTGTGAGGTCGACGCGCAAACCACTGGACCACCGGTCCGACGCATTGATACATAAGGAAGAAAAAAAATTACTGGTAGTTAAGGAAAAAAAAGTAGTAACATTTATTCTTAGCATTAAGCAAAACAAATGATTCTGTTCACATCACATACCTGTCAACTTGTACGTTTTCCCCGTATTTTATACGTTTTTTTTTTAATCATTTCAAATCATGTACAGCGTATTACAACATTTATACGGGAATTTTTTTTTTAGTATTTTTTTTTTTTTTAATTGTGAACCGATCTCACAAAGACCATTTTGGCTCAAATCCAGATCGTCTCACCTGCTGGTAGCCAACGACAATGCCGTCGTCGATCGCTATTATTGTCACGGCAAACCAGCAAAAGTAATCCTCAATCGTACATTTTTTTTTCCATCGCTATGTACGGTAGGATACATAAAGCATGATGTGGGCATGCGCAGGAAGCCATTGTAAGGGTTGTTTTTTTTTGCTTTGTAAGGGGGATTGTAATCATTTATAAGGGCAGCTATTAGCCAAGGTTGACAGGTATGACATCATAGTACTATTATGACATATTGAAATGAAGTTATCAGACTTATTGGACAAAAATGTTTCATGTTTATTGCTATTCAAATGCGTGCAAAGGGAAAATGTACTTTTCAAGTCCTGTTGAAGGAAAGAAGAAAAAAACGTTCACATTAATGGCCTCTAGATGATGCCTCCGTTACACCTTTCTGTTCTGTTCCAACAATATTTTGCTTTCGGATGTCATATCACAGGCTGAATGCTTCCACATCAGACACTCACTCTTCCCCATCGTTGTTTTAGCAATATAATTTAAGCCTAAAAAGGTTTTAAACATCACACCAGACGCGAGGACTTCATTGTGATTTCTTTGAATCGACATGGAGGTAAAATCATATCCCGGACACGTGGGTGTGGCAATGTGCCGTGTTCTGTGTAGGAAGCAATGGCGGCCTATTGAGGGATGTTCTGAAATGGGTTCTCCGCCTTGTCTTTATGCTACCACTCGATTAGCACCATAAATAATTTGGATCAAATGGACCTATGAGGTCCCTTTTTTTTTTTGGGATATGTCTGGAAGTCTGATTTATCGGCAGTGTGAAAAGTTTTTTTTTTTTTTCCCGTCCGAAAGCGGAGCTTTTTCTATACGACTCTCCCTCTTCTGTCCCCTTCAATAACACACAGCAGGGCTGATAGGCAGATATATTTACACCGGTATCATGGGAGGAAGAAGTCATCGGCCAAACCCCCGTCCAGCCTCCGTCTCCTACGGGCGGGTCTGTGGCGCAACCCCCAGGCCGCCTAGCCCCTCCCCAAGCGGGGCATATCTCTGTGTGCTTCGCCTGGCTCCCAACTCAGAGCTCTCAGCTTAGATGGGACCAAAGCCTCGGCGAGACTCGCACTACTTCCACATCGAGCCCCCCGGGGGGAGAGAAGGGGAGCACCCGGAGATCCGCTTGCTAGTGTCAACACCGGCGACTGAGAGAAGCTCTGTTCTTAATTTGTCTCATTGGTTCAATTTTGCCAAGATCTGTAGATGAGGTAGGCACGGTTTGCTGCAACTCATCTCAGTCTTGGGGTCCAGAAGACGCCAAGGCCCGGGGGCCCAGGTGTGCATGACTGTATCTTGCAACTTTTGAACCCTGGAACTGTACTCCAAAGCATTATGACTCTTCTGGGCTCTGAACACTCCGTACTGATACGAAGCAAGTTCAGATCAGGTAAGGACTTGGTGGTTTTCAACACCCATTGTTGTTATCCGATAGATATATTCCATATGCGCTGTCAGATTCTCCAGTGAAATCTTCGCGGTCATTCCGTACGTGCCTTTGCGAGCCGTTTGGCTCTCAACACTTGACATTTACAGGCGACGCTGTGCTCATGATGTCCTTTGCCCGTCCCTCAAGAAGGAGCCGTGTTGACACTCACAGCGGCGGCGCTCCTTAGCTCCCAAGTGACAGGTGCTCGTAATAGACGCGGGGGGGAACAAGCCGAACAACGCCAGGAAAGTTAACTAGCTGAAGCTCTTTGGTCAGTGACATCAAAAGTGTGACATTCAAGAGTGACGTTTGGGACAGGTTAGGGGCACTTGTGGCGTGTCAGACGCTGAGAGAAGCCAGTTACGTTCACACTCTGGCTGGATGGATGCTGATAAGGGAGATTAGAAGGTTGGAGGTTATCTTAATAAGGTGGAATTGGAAGCTAATGGTGCATGTATGTGTGTGAGTGTGAGTGTGTGCGTACCTGGTCTTATCAAAAGGAGGTGAAGTACGAATTAAAACGGTCGCTGAAGACAGCGTGGCGGTTCCGTCTTTTGTATTCATTGAGATTTTGAAATCCAAAACGCCTAATTGGGAATCAGCAACAAATTGTTCATCTTGTATTTTATTGATTTATTTTTACGCATACCAGAATTTTTTTTTCACACACTGGGGAAAAAAAAAAAAAATGCCCAGAACGAGTTGGGTGCCAAAAATGCGACGTGTTCATTTTGTGTCCGCAATAATAATTTTTTTTTTTTTTGTGAAATTTTGTTGACAAACAAAAAGGAACAGCATCCACACAACCTCGTTGGAGGAATGGAAAACTGTCTTTGAGTTTTTGTGTCGCGCACCCCAAAAAAAAAAAATGCATACGCTGAGCAGTAAGCCAGTTGAAAGTTGGATGGATGGAGAAATTCAAAGATGTCAACTGAGCATTTGTGCTTGCGTCGTCGGCTTTGTGTACAGGACGCGCGTGTGCAACACTGCCATCTCCCTGAGGAAAATGTAACGGAAGGTGGCGCGGATAGAAGCTCAAAGCTTTTTTTTTTTTTTCTTGAAAGTTCACCTTTTTCCAAGTCGAGACTCGCGATGCTGCAAGTACTCGCGGATAACAAGTGCGCCTCTTATTTCGGTGTCTCCGAAAAAAAAACAAAAAAACATGTAATTGCGTCGCAGGAGTGGCAGACAAAATGGGGCTTTTCCTTTTTGTGCTGTTTAGAGTAGATTGGCAGGGTGGGAAATGACCCACAGTGCTCAAGGGAACGCGGGCGGAGGGTTCAAGAGAAATGTGATGGTTCAGGTTGTGTGTTGCTGGGCGGAGGGTTGGGGGGGTGGAGGAAAAAAAAAAACCACACATGGAGAAAAAAACACACACACACACACACACACACACACACATGCAGGAGCTGCCTTAATTTGTCACAGATGTGGAGACGTTGTCTTTATTCCCATAAAGGTCATTTTACTCCAGATCTGATTGATGATACGGTCGGGATGGATTAATCTCGAGCGGGGCCGAATTCATGAGTTGAAAACCGTCCGTCCGCGCGTGAAGTCAAACGTCTTGTAAATTCAAGCGGCTTTTTGTCGCTCGATGAACCCGTTTTTGTTGTGTTTTGGAATTGTAGCTCACGTTTTTTTTATTGCGCGACCGAGACGAGGCGATTTGTTGATCGTTTTACAACCCACTTGAACTATACTATCAAAGCCATGGGAACTGTCGCCGCATGGTTGAATTTAAAAAGAATCGATAACGATCTCGCTTAAGTGTCCCCCCCGCGGGGACCGAGCGGCGTTTGTCGCGAGTCCGCGGCGCGGAACTGACTGGTTCTCACGTTGATTTGATTCGCAAGTCCAAGAGCCGACTGATGTTACGTAACGCGGAGCGACTAAGGTGTCCAAGAAAATCAAAGTGGTGTGACAGGGGTGCCCCCCCCGTATTCCAACGCCGGAGCTAAAAAAAAAAGCAGATTTGATCCCTACAAAAATTAGATTGACATTTTCAATAAACCTCTCTGTCAAAGTTTTGTTTGACAAATAAGCATCACCACATCAAAAAAAACGACAAGCTGGGCCGAACGGTAAATCGTGGCAATTTAAAAAAAAAAAAAAAAAAAAAAAAGGGGTACACCCCGACTCAAATCTGACTTGAACGTGCCGCCATGTTTTCTTTATTTGTTAAGTTGTCGCCGTTGTATTTTCGATGAATGTCTGAAATGCCTTGAAAAGTCCCTTGCAAAAAAAAACCTCACAAAAAAAAAAAAAAAAACAGTCGTCTTGGTTCCGCGTTGCTTTTCTATCGGCGAATCGACAATCGTCCTGCGTACCTCAACATCACTGCAATGTCCAGCTGTTGCCTTTGAGTCACTGTCAGTGGATCTGATCCCAAAATCTGTATTTTCGCCGTGACCTGTTGACTCTTCCGCTTTACTACCTTCGGGCTCATTTTCACAAATCTGCCATAGATTGTCCCTCGTGCATCGGGATAAGACGGGGCGAGTTTATGTTTCGTGGAAATTCACTGGTATGGGTTTAAAATAAACAGTAACATTCTATTTAGGAATACCTGTTTATGAAAAGTTATACAGTTGTGCTCATACATCCCCGCCCCGAGCACATTTCTGTCTGCTCGAAGGGAAGTTCTGGGAATTGATGAAAGCGACTAGTTTAGCGATTTTCACTTCATTCCTGCATCGCGCCTTTCGTAAATCACGAAATCGCCACGGGTGCCGCGCGGAATTAGCGCCACTTTACCAGAGCCAACCAATTTATTTACGCAATCAATCTGAAATGCTATAAATACGGCATTGCGTTTGTGTACCAGAGACGGGCCACGCGGGGAAAACAAATGTCCTGAAAGAAGGGGGGGGGGGGGTCATATGGTTGAAAGTCCGCTCTCCATAACAATGAGGATTTCATGGCAGCTGGTGCGCGTCTCCCAATGAATTATTAACTTTGAGAGGAAGAGTTAAAATCATAGACGATGTGGTGGGTTTTTTTTTTTTTTTTTTGGGGGGGGGGAAAAACACCTTTTTCTCTAGCACAAGTGAGACCGAAAAGAGGAAAAAAAAAAAAAAAAAAAAAAACAAAACAAAAAAAAAAAACCCCCAATGGGGGTTGTTTCCGTTCCATGTTTTTGGTCGCGGCGCATTCCGCAACTACATCCTCTGTGTTATGATGCGACGAAGGGGTCGTGACCTCGGGTCACTGTAAACTCACGGCAGATGTCAGAGGAAGGCAAAAAGCGCTTCGAGCTACGTAACAGAGGTGCTTCGCCGCAAGGGATGGCGAGTTGATAGACTGACGTCAAATGAAGAAGGCATTACAAAGTTCGGATATGGGAGCGGGGGGTCAAAGCTGCGTAAATGCAGACCACCTGAAACGGATAATGAGCAATCGGAAAAAAAAAAAAAAAATGAAATTAGGATTCGGATAGGAGGAACATTTCATACTCGCGTATCACATCCAAGATGTCCAAAGACGACCGACCTTCAGATCGCGGCAGGGAGGGGAAAACGCGCCGCGAAACAAAGAGCCGGAAAAAAGGGATAGCCACCGACACGAGTCGACCGACAGACGTGGGGGAGTCTTGATGTTTATGACCCCGCACTCCCACATTGAGTCTTCTTCGTCTACAATTCGACATACACACATTTGAGCATGCGTGGAGTGTGCGCGCACCCCTCGGGGACCACACACTGCTTGAACAGATCTGTTTAAAGCCAGGAGCAGTGTTTATCACTGCCGACATCCTGCTCGCAGAAATATTTGTGAGCAAGCTGCTTTGTTTTTTTTTGTTTTTTTTTCGTCCCCGCCCCTGTTTTGAACCAGCATGCATAGAACACACGCGCGCCTATCCATTCAGGATCGATTTCATCACCAACCTGTTCGTGTACTACAAATACGCTCCATGCTTTGAATTCATCTCTGCGACAGCAGACGGGCTGTATAATTTTTCCCAGCTTTTTAAGAAAAAAAAAATATTATAACTGTCCCTTTTCTTTCTCCGTCTGTTATTTCTTGCCTTCTGTTGGTCTTTGCTATCTGTCTGCCTGACTCTATCATCATCCTCTTCCTCCCTCCCTCCCCCTCACCTTCAGTGCTACAGTTAAGACTTCAGCAGAGGAGGACACGAGAGCAGCTGGCAGACCAAGGCATCATGCCTCGTGAGTAACACCCTCCAACGCAGCTGCAGACAGCCATATACACACACACACACACACACACACACACACACACACACACACACACACACACACACACACTTGAACATACCCCTGACCCCGTCTAAATGGAGTCTTGGTAGGCCTCTGCATCAGTTCTAGGTCCCTTGCAGCGAGTCCTCACGCCTGCGCAGAAATACCAGCACGCACACACACACACACGCACACACACACACACACACACACACACACACTCATACGCACGCACGGTTGTATAGTTATTATTAATCATCAGATTGAAATAATGTGTAGCCAAACCTGCAACGCTTTTGTGATCGCGTCGTAACAGAAAAAGATGAGGGAAAGCAGAACGCGCGTGTGGAACTATGAGGCGGTGAAACGGATCAGGGTGGGTCGATAAAAATTCAGATAGCACGGATTTGGATTTCATCGGTTGTCGTTGTATTTTTTAAATTATTTTTTAAAAATCAATTCTTCAGGGGAATGACAGTTGTTTTTATGAACACCGTAACAATCATACACCAAACAAACACAATCGACATCACAAAAGCCCACGTTGACAAAAAGACACTAAAACTTGAGTGCATCAAGGACAAAAATTGAAGTCGACTCGTGTCTCAACGAAGATCAATAAAGATCAAAATCCAGGCTATATCCATATTACAGCTGCTTGTCCCATTTTTTTATTTCCTTGTTTGTTTGTTTGAGCCATGAACCCCTCCGATATACGTTATGTCACCTCATATAACTTTTGAAATTTGTTAGAAAAAATGTTGCCAATAGCATAAGTGAGTTTAGAACATCAATATTCTGATTCAAGGTGGATATATTGATATCTATTCGCAGGTACACCAGGTCTGCCCAAACTTTTTTGACCAAAGATCTACTTTTCGATCAGCCAACCTCCCGCGATCGACCCGTTACCACACACGGGCATATGCACACCCTGATGCGCAATAGCCATAACCGAAAAATAAAGCAGACACAAATGTTTGTGAAAAGCAAATCACTGCCTACCTTAGCAGAGAACTGACGCGGATGCATCGGACGCACTTTTGCAGCGTCGATCTTTTTTTTTAACCGGTCGATCGCAATTTACATTTTGGGCACCCTTGAACGAAACTATGCAAAACTGTGCCGTTGGCCCATAATTTTTCCCAAGATGAAAGCATTTTCTCCAGTCACTTTAAGGTTAATTACTTCGTGAATAATGCATGAACCTGAGAGAAAATGTATTTGACTCATTTATCCAGTAGGTGGGTTTTTTCGAAGCTACATTATTTGGTATTGACCCAAATTAGGATTGCTAAACCTTTTGCTAAAATCCGCTCCGCTAATTGCTTGGGTTATGCGCGTGGCTGTTGAGGAAATCAGGACAATCTGAAGCACCAGGCAGAGATGCGACGAGACAGCAAAGGCCGGCGACTCGGCCGACGGTCCGGTGAACAACTGCCGAGGAATGCTTTCATGTGGAAAACGCTCACATCGAACGCGACCCGTTGACAACGCTGCATCCGAGGAGTGCCGCGTGGCTGCGGAGGCCTTTGCCGACAGAACGGCACCAAACGGGAGCTGCCAAAGAACTTTACTTGAATGCTAAAATGTCACCTGAAGACATCATGATGAGGACATGAAGACCTGACTGGACTGAGAGTGCACTTAAATCTTTGCCATAATCCAGATGAATGGTCTCCGCTGCTTTTTCAGGTCAGGGCTGTGCAGTAAAACTGCAGCAAATTTGTTTAGTATTGATTGCCAACACCCAAAAGGCCCATTTATCCGTTCTACACGGACTGTCAACTCTTCATATTGATCGTTTCTCAAGTTGAGAGTGAAATACTCTCGTGTTATTCCGTTTGCAAGGTTGTGGGTCAATATAGACTAAAGATGACTTTGGTGTGGAAGGACCCAAGGGTCTTTACCTCAAGCCCACCGAACACCTTTGAAAAAATCCAGAACAGGTCGACCCTTGTGTTCAACTTTGGTGACTCTGAATCTGAAGTTCTCACAGACCAATTCCTAAATCTTTGTTGAAACTCTGAACAGAAGACTGCGGAATCAGACACATCTTCAAATGTGGAAAGGGGGGGCTTCCTTTCCCTTGTTTCTGGTTCCTCTCTGAGCAATGATGAGCCGCCCTAATTCATTCTTTTGTTGTGTACTTGAAGTCATAAGCTAAAAGCAGTCATGAGCGGGTTTTCGTATCGGCGGGAGTTATTTGCCCGCGGGATCAACAGGACGGGCGGGGGCTTGAACTTCAAGCAAAGGATTTGTTGAACGATATCTTTGGCACTGTTTGCCATTTCACTGAGTCCCCCCCCCCAACCCCCCGATAAAAACCGTTGTTGCTAAGTGTGTAAGGGAACAGAATCCAGAGGTCTGGCGCTGTCCTATCAGGTTGTTGGAGTCTGTCGCTGATAAGGCGGCAGCAAACGGAAACGCGACGCATTTGAATTGGCTTTTTAATCTCTCGATTGCGGGAAAGTCGCATCGGTTTTAGTTTGTCGAGGCCTTCAATTTAATGTCGGGGTATTTGGCCTTTGTGTTGTTTTCAGAGCAACGCGTTAGCCCTTTGTTAGCATGTTTGCCTGGCAGCATTATTCCAGTTGGGTAGATCGACATGGCACCCGGTTTTTGGATATATTACCGAGGGAACATCTGCCGTTTATTATCCTCTTTCAAACCATCTATCAGTTCTGACTGGCGTGTGGCCTTACCTGCCGGCCGCACACACCAACGATGCGCAAGCTAATATAAGCGAATATAAAGTGTGGCTGCGGGTTGAGTGGACGTCTTCTTGTACGAGTCCCCAAGTAAAAAAACCCGTTTTCATCACGAGCGCCATGTTTAATCCTTTGCGGATCGCCTAATGCACCATACGTCCTTCCTCTTAGCGTCGTGTTTACATTTAAATAAGACGGTCAAAGGGTATACGTACTACAATAGCTTTCAAGTGACATCGCCTGTTTTAATTCGACCGGTGAATGTTTGAAATTGGCGTAAGTCGGCTTCAAAACTCACCGGCTCGTGTTACATTCTACCTATGTGGGCCCGTTTTTGCAGTTGTTGGACAGATTTTTAGGCAGTTTGGTTACACAGTTTAAACACAGTTAAAAGTCTGTGATATTAAATCAGGCCAGGCAGAGACAGGAGAGGTGTTTGGGACAGCAGGGCAGACTCCGCGGCTATAAACAGATGATGATGTCATTGTGACGGTGGGCAGCAAATGGCTTTTCAACGTGACAACTTGTTCTTGAAGGAAGCGTGGTTTATCCCTGAGGCTGGATCATTTGTGGATATCAATATACCTGACAGTAAATCACCAATCGCATTTGGCCTGGAATTGCTGCATTGAATTGTGTTGTCTGACAAACTTACATTTTCGTCATTCAGAATATTAAGAAGCTCAACGCTTCATGCTTCAATATAGGTCCCATTTTCACTTATGTATTTGGAGGTGGAATCCAGATAAACACACAAAAAAAAAAAAATGTTTCCCAGAGTTAAAGAAAAACCCCATAAGATAATCCTATTGATCAGGGATGTCAAACTCATTTTTGTCACGGGCCACTTTTGAGTTACGTCTTCCCTCAGAGGGCCGTGATGACAGTGAAACCACAAAAAATGTTTAATCGCACCTATCGCATTATTACTTTGATGGGTAACAAAATTATTGCAAAATATCAACGTCATTTATTAAACATCACAATTTGACATTTCAGTGCATTTTTTCACAAGAATCATGCAAGTTGACGCACCTGATTTTCTTTCAGGGGGCCACATAAAATGATGTGGCGGGCCGGATCTGGCCCCCGGGCCTTGAATTTGACACCTGTGCTATAGATGCTCACTAAACTGAAATATCACAAGATTTACTGGCATTTTACGGGATGTCACCCATGAAGTTGTTGCTTGACCTTTGAGGCATATATTTTAAAAAAAAATTGTTCGACTTTGGGGTCAAGCTACTGTACAAAACACTTACAGAAGCCGAAAAAAAACAGCTTGACATTAGCATAGACATAATCTTGAAGTATATTTGTAATATAATGCAATACCTTTTTTAATCAGACATGAATACCATTACCTGGAGTTGTCCAGCGCAGATCTCAATATCCTTCATTTGCTTCTGGCACTCGATCCACAGTTATGGCCTGTCAAAAATCAGACTCAAATTCAGTTTGACCAAATAAGTTTCTGTTGCTCTTTCTCACACTCAGATAATCAAAATGATTCGGTGCGCTCGCTTCACTTCCAGGTAATCGCTCCTGCGAGTGCTGCAGCGAGATGTTTAAGCCGGTTTGCCCTGCGTGTGATTATTTGGACTAGCTTAGCAGAGCGAGATTGGTGAAAGTTTGAAAATCTCACCTGCTGCAGCCCTTTAATTACAGCCAGTTCATTTATTTTTCTAGTAAATCAACATATCTTTGGCTGCACAAGGCATGAGGCCACTGGACAGATGACAGATACGGGAAGAGTAAAAAAAAACACCATGGGGAAAAAAAGTAAACACTTGCAAAGTCTCTTGGCTTGGTTTGGTTGCATTTTTAACCACTCAAAATATGCACAACTAAAAACAAGATGGTTAAAAAGCACACACACATACAAACAATACAGATAATATTTCAATATGCATGTACAACATTCATTTCAAATTATTTATTGGGATTCAATGCACACTGTGGAAAATGAATCAAAGATCCATTCGTCCATTTTCTGATCCGCTTTATCCTCACAAGGGTTCCCAGCTGTATTTAGGCAGGGGGACACCCTGAACCGGTTGCCAGCCAATCGCAAGGCACACAAAAACGAACAACCATCGGCGCTCACACTCGCACCTAGTGACAATTTAGAGTGTTCCATTAACCTGTCATGCGTGTTTTTGGAATGTGGGAGGAAACCGGAGCACCCGGAGAAAACCCACGAAGGGCACGGGGAGAACATGCAAGCTCCACACAAGAAGGCTGGAGCCAGATAGTTAGCACAATGTAGGACTAGCAAGTCTGCCTCACAGCCAAGGTGGTGTTTTCTCATGAAATAAAGTAAATCTTGGTTTGAATCTTGGCTCAGGTGCTCTTGCCCAGTTTGCACGATGTCCCCGTGCTTGACTGTGATTTCTCCAGGTAATGCAGTTTCCTGCAAAACATGAATTGCATAGTTGGTGAGTTGAAGACTTGGGGTTCTACTTTCGTCGACAAGCTTGTGTATCTTGAATTTCATTTCGTACGAGTGCAAGTCTTGTGTTGGGGGCGGTCTACAAACGTCAACTTCACGCAGTACACCGTGTCGAGCAAAAGAATGATCGGAGCCGCTTTGATTGACCATGAGAGAAGTCGGCTGTGACCACTCCCAGAGTGGCGCACCACCCCACTTTTTTCAGATCCGCCAGCCTATGTTAATCTGCAAAATTACCAGCACCGGGTGGCACCCACCTCAGTGCAGTTACGAGGTGTGCCAAGCAAAACGACAAGCAGTTCTTGATGTTTTTATTCAACGGAGTCATTTCGGATCTGGTGAATGTTATTAAGTTATCATTTCTCTCACTAACGGCAGACTGGAATACAAGCCTGCAAGTAAATGCGATCCAATACTCGATGTGTGGTGTGACCCCTGTTGATGGTGTGGCCCTGCTGTGTGTTCTCCAGACTCGGCCTCAGTCAGGTTCTCACTGGAGGACCAACTGAGGGTAAAGCGAGGCCGTCTCGCAGAGGAACTCAATGAGAAGCTGGCTCTCAGGCCGGGGCCCCTGGAGCTGGTCCAAAAGAATATCATTCCGCTAGACTCTGCCCTCGCCATGACAGGTATTCAGAAGAGAGATGTTCCACTCGTGTATGAACACACCATTGAATGCACCTGCATCTCAACCCGAGTGGTCCCACATTAGCATTCTCAGCATGCTGAATTTCAAAGGAGAGCATGCTGCTTTTCTAATTATACCTGAATAAATTGGAGCACACTTGAGACACAGTAGTATGGTGAGTGTGCACTTGAGTTGATGTGTTTTTCCGTGTCTGCACCAACTAAAATTAAACGCGAACTTCGAGCTCAGCATTATGACTCAGATTACTACACTAACATACTGTGTACTATCCATCCATCCATCCATTATCTGATCCGCTTATCCTCACGAGGGTCGCAGGCGTGCTGGAGCCTATCCCGGCTGTCTTTGGGTAGTAGGTGGGGACACCCTGAACTGGTCGCCGGCCAATCGCAGGGCACACATTGATGAATAACTATTCGTACTTACCATTGGACAATTTAGTGTTCCATTAACCTGCCATGCATGTTTTTGGAATGTGGGAGAAAAACAAAATACCCGGAGAAAAGCCACGCACGGGGACAACATGCAAACCCCACACAGCAAGGCTGGAGCCAGAATCGAACCCTGCACCTCTGCACTGTTAGATGGACGTGCTAACCAGTTGACTATTGGGTGTACTAATATAACCATATATTTACTTCATGTCAAAGCAACAACTGGTGCAACAAAACAAAGAATCTTCGATCTACAGAGTGTCTTCTTGAAAAAGCGGATTTTTTTTTTTCATGAGGAAAAAGTCCTTTTGTGATTTACATTGCAAGTCCATTGAATATTTTATTTGTTCCAAACAATCTTTTGGTAGAATTTCCGAAATGACTATTATTATTATTATTATTATTATTATTATTATTATTATTATTATTATTTCGAAGAAGTCTACAATCTTTGAAAAAAAATCCGTGATGCTCTTAAAATCCCTAGCCTGTGAAGTCGTATCAAAAGAAAACATCAAAATTGGCCATACTGCACATGCTAAAGAGACAAAAAAAAAAGAATTCACAACTTGCCAAAGATATCAGTGAAAACCAAGATCAACTCTGAATCTCCCAAATTCGTATTTTCATGCATTAAAGCCATTTCTTTTGGTCTCAAGGTTTTCTCATCGTTTACTGGGGGGGGGATCAAGTGTTTGGGGAGCCATCTTGAAACGCCCTCCCGCTCGCCTCTTTGAAACGCGACTTGATTTAGCACAACGCGTTACGTTGGGTCTTGGGACTGTTTGTCTTGTAATTCTCCCCATCCATGTTTTGTGCTCTCTTTATATCATTCCTGACAGTGTAATGTTGTGTACATGTTTGACTATGGCGGTTAGTGGTTTTGTTTGCCTTGATCATTCGGTAAACACTCGGCGTTAAGAAAGATGCAGTCAACGAGTTTACACGACCGCCGCAGAGGGATGGAAGTGCTTTATTGGGATGAGCAACAGCTGTATTTAGGCCACCCTTTTTCTTTCAAAGTGTGTTTGCAAGCATGCGCGCGTGTGTGTGCGTGTAAAAAGGGGGGTGGGGGGGTGTACGTGTGTATGTTTGTAACAACCTCCCCACCTTTTAGCACTTGTCTCAGCTTTAACAAGTCCGCGTGGCTCCGGCGAGCCACCTACAAAGGTTTCTGACGCGACCAGGCTGTCGCTTGCCTGCAGCGTGAACCCCTCACCTTAAAGCGGTTAACCGTGAGCACAGTACTTCCAACCTCGGTGTGGTAATACTGGAAACTATGTGACCCCGCCATAACTCCTAAACAGCCACTTGAACAGTGGAAGTGGCCAAAGGCTCGTAGAAGTCCCTTCATTGTGCCACCTCAGTCTCTTCATGCGATCCGATTGACGCGGTTTCATGAAGTGGACATGTACTTCACTCCCTGAAGCTTTGTGTGCGTGCGAATGTGTGTTGCGAAGGGGATGGGGGGGGGTCAATGGGTTTCATAAGCCCATGGCAGTGACTGAAACCAGGGATATGTTCTTGGGCGTCACGTGTGGATTCAAAACGGCAATCTTGTATCCCTCACACGTACGCGGCAATCGACACCGCTGCCCTCTCGCAGATAGGCACTCTCGGCTCCTCCAATCGTGGCTCAGGCTCTTGTCAACCCAGCCAATCAGGATGTGAAGTGGCTGTGTCAGTGTTTCACCGACTCGACTCAACTGTATTTATAGAGCACTTTAAAACAACCACCGCTGAAAACAAAGTCCTGGACGTGCAGCAAAAAGAATTCAAACAACAAAAACAAGAACAGCCAAATTAAAAATCAAGTCTCGTGGTGAGTCAAAAGCCAAAGAATAAAAATGAGCTTGGAGACGAGTTTTAAAGATGGGCAGCGGAGGGGGCTTGCCGAACATTCAGTGGGAGGTCATTCCGAAGAGAGCGGCCATAAACGGAAAAACCAGTGAATGGATGCCAGAGTTGGGAGTTATGCAGCATTCTGGACCAACTGGAAATGCTTAATGGAGGATTGACTGACTCCAAAGTAAAGTGCATTACAGTAATCCAGCCAGGATGTGACGAAGGCATGAATGACTGTTTCAAAGTGCTCTTGAGAAAGGAGTGGCTCATTATAGAATAAAGAGTAATTGCACATCCACGGTGACATTGTCGCTTTCACTGTCAGAGTGTAAAAGGAGTTGGAGTTTGGTTTCATTCCTTAAACTCGCCTTATTTCAGCAGAAAATGATTTTCAGGTTCAAACCGTTTTTTTTTTGTTACACCCCTAATATATAAAAAATAAAGAAAGGAAATTTTTGTGGCTTGATCCCTTTGACCATCCATATCGTCAAAGAGCGCAAGCCATTTTCAACACTTATTTTTATGTAAGAGAGCCGTTGCACTGTGGGAAAAACCAAAAACAAAATCATAATATGCAGTTACATGATTTTCTGTTTTAAACCCTTTGTTTGGGGTTAGGATCATGCAACTTTTACACATGCATAGAGAAATGCATGATTAAAAATAAAAAAAAAAATATTAAAGAGCATGTATGTTGCATGTATATGGTCCAGGTCTTTTTGATTGAAGTTAAAGAATGAAATGATATAATGGCCTCAAAAGAATCGATACAGTATTTCTGTTCCTCTCAACTTGTGACAATGGATATCTGGACATTTTGTCTCACAAATTTTGACCCACATATCAATCAGCAACTTTATCGTCATCTTGCCGCATATACCAGGAACATTTTCAAAGGCCCGCGGCATTTGATTTGTTCCAACAAAGCAACTGTGATAGCGGCCTTTTTATGTTGCGATTCTTTGCCATTCAAACAAAGCGGACGGGATGACTTGAGGAGCGCGTTTTGAACGACAGTTGGGAGAGTAATAGACACGTGGTGTTAAAAAAGGTTGCGGTCTTGACACGTTTACAACAGGCGGGAGTTGTGAAAATAATCTTGATGTGAAGAGTTCACGTTTTTCATCAGACAGCAATGATATTCAAGTATGAAAAATAACCCACAATGGGGTTGTTTGGTCTTGGCGGAGGCCGACTGTGATATCATTCACGTAGAGGAGGATTTCTGGTTCAAACTCATTGGTGGAAAGGTCGATCTGACTTTTTTTTTTTTTTTAACGGCAGAAAATTGACAAATCCAACTATTGGGTTCACACTCTTTTTTTTTATTTATTTATTTTTTATTGCGACGCGCCAACGCTTGAAAGAACGAGTGCGGCCTTTCCTATTTCCACTTTATTTGGCTTATATCGCATGTCTAAAATGCTTCTGGGTCTTTTTTTTTTTTTGCAGTAAACCATGGCAAGTTCCCCAAGCAAGAGGACTCGTACGCCTTCGAGGAGGACAGCAGCAGTGAGAGTTTGTCTCCCGAACATCATCACAGCGACGAGTCTCAGGGCTCGGCCTGCCCTTCGTCGGAGGCGGTCGGCAGCATGCAGTCCTCCTCTTCCTCCCCTGCACTCGCCGGCGCACAGCAGGTACAGACGACCTTGCGCTGTCTTCAAAACATAGTTGCGAGATTTATTCGCGTCGCTGATGTTTGCCTCCGGGTTTGTTTCTGCCCACTTTGACATTGACGGGTTGTGACGTCTGTTCCAAATATGATCTTAGCCTGTTCTCCCACCATGTGGCTTCACAGTAAACTACCTCCCACATTTTTATGCGTAATATTACCGGGCAAGCAGTTTACCCCACCCGGTGGTACAAAACAAAAATAAACCCAAATGTATAAATCTGTAGATTACGAGACGCGGCAAACTGACAAAATAATTATCTAGATGTGTTGACGTTTGCCAACAGGAAGGCACAACCAGAGACCCGTCGGACCAAAGCCAGGACGAAGGACTATCTGGAGTTTGCAACAACCATGCCAACCCCCCACTGGCAGTTCCCGCTATTGTCAAGGTGAGCAATAAAATGCTCTTACATTTGACAGCGGATCTAAATATTTTGTTTGACTTTCCGAACAGTCCAAGACATCAGACAAGAACCGCCATAAGAAGCCCAAAGACATGAAACCCAAAGTGAAAAAGCTCAAATACCACCAGTATATACCGCCGGACCAGAAGGCTGATAAGTCGCCTCCACCTATGGACTCGGCGTACGCCCGACTACTCCAGCAGCAGCAGCTGTTCCTACAGCTGCAGATCCTCAGCCAGCAGAAACACGCTCACACTCACTCCCAGTCTCAGCAGCACACACACGCAGGACAGATGCCGAGCCAGTCTCAACAACGGCAGCCTGCCTTCAGTTACCAGCCGCACTCGCAGACGCAGATGCAGAAGTAAGCACGTGGCAAAAATCAAAGTAATGACTGAACAAAAAAAAAAAAAGTGACACACTGTCTTGCCTTTCGGGTCAGCCCCGAATTACACTTAATGTAACATCAACATGATACTCTGCAATCGAGAAACAAGTGTTAGTCGAGTCAATATTGGAGTATCAAGTACCGTATTTTCCGGAGTATAAGTCTCACTAGCCATAAAATGCATAATAAAGAAGAAAAAAAAACATATATAAGTCACACTGGAGTATAAGTCGCATTTTGGGGGGAAATTTATTTGATAAAATCCAACACCGAGAACAGACGTGTCATCTTGACGAGCAAATAAAAATAAAAATATAGAGAAGAACAGGTTGAGTAAGTGTTCGATATGCTAACAATACATGACGTATAAACAACGAACTGAGAACGCGCCCGGTCTGTTCACGTAACATTTTAAGAGTTATTCAGATAACTATAGCATAAGAAGATGCTAACAAGTTTTTCCAAACGTCATTCCAAATCACTAAATCCAATGAAATCTTCATCGCATAAGAAGATGCTAACAAGTTTACCAAACCACCGGTGTCACTCCAAATCACTAAATCCAATGAAATCTTCATCCTCCGTGTCACTTTTAAAGAACTCTGCCAACTGCGCTTCCTCTTCTATGTCACTTCCGTCAAAGTCATCGTCAGTTGTTTTTAATCAGTTCCAGCCAATGTGGAAAGTATCAACACAGGCCTAGAGCGCCCTCTTGCGGTTTCATGTGAAAATAACATGTGAAATGATAAAATGTGTTCATCATTTCACACACAAGTCGCTCCAGAGTATAAATCACACCATCGGCCAAACTATGAAAAAAACTGTGATTTCTAGTCCAGAAAATACGATATGCTGTGTTGCTCTTCTTCTTAAGTAATGCGTTCAAATCTGTGATCCCAGAGGGTCCGGCGAGCAGCTGTCCGTTTGTACGGCCAGCGGTCCATCGAACGCCGGAGACGGCAGCTCTTCCTCGCCAATCAAGACCACGTATCCCAACCAAAACATCTCCCCCGTAAAGCCTGGACCCCTGCCATCCAATCTGGACGACCTAAAAGTAGGTGCTACAGTTTCGTACCATTGTGTGCTTCCGATTCCCTTCCTGGAAATGCCAAAGCGGGTCAACATACATTTTTTTCTTTTGCAAAGGTATCAGAGCTCCGGCAGCATCTGCGTATCCGCGGATTGCCCGTGTCAGGTACCAAGACGGCTCTTATTGAACGACTCCGGCCCTTCAAGGACTCCAATTCCGGCTCATCTCCATCGGGCTCCTCGGATGTCACCACCGTGACCTTCCCTGTGACTCCGACAGGCTCGCTCTCTTCTTACCAGTCTCCATCCTCTTCCCTATCGCAAGGAGGCTATTACCCTTATCCCAGCACCTCTTCTACCCCGCCAATCTCACCAGCGTCTTCGGAGCATTCCCTCAGTGGCTCGCTCCCAGACAGTTTCAGCGACGTGCCCATGTCCTCTCCGCCGCAGTTTGCTCTGCAGGCATCTCCGGGCCAGCTCGGCGCGGATGATGCGCTGGGAGCGGGTGGATCGCGAGCAGGAGAGGGTGGAGGGATGGATGGCGTGGACGCAGAAAAAGACAAAATGCTGGTCGAAAAGCAAAAAGTGATTGAAGAGCTGACATGGAAGCTACACCAGGAGCAAAGACAGGTGAGAAGAGCAAGTGTTCGGTCACATTATTTGCAGCGTTGCTAATAAGTGCACATGCTCCTCTCCAATTCCCTTTTTATTCAGAAAATCTACGGATTTGACACACTAGTTATTAATAGATATCAACCAGATAGACTCCTGGACAACTTAGCATGCATCAGTCGCACATGGTCCAATATTTTTTGTCAAACGTGAACAATGGGATGGCTCAAACAAAAAAAACAATGATCTTCTAAGTTAATATACTGTATCAGATTTAGAAAACAATCAATCTCTTGTCTCATATTAAAAAAAACAAAAAAACTGACATCCCTGTTCCGATACTTTTGAAAAACGATGTTCACTTCATAGTAAGTTTTCTTGAGACGGTAATAATAGGAGAATGCTAATTTTTGTTTGATCTCTTCACATGGGGACAAACATTCATACTGTATACTGTCAGAAAAATATAATGGGGAAAAAAAAAAAAAACGGTTTATCTCTCAACTCAACTTTATTGAGAAAGCGCTATTAAAACAATCACGGCTGCGTAGAAAGGCCGAACACTTAAAAATGTGTTTTCAGACGACAGACAAAGCGGGGGGGGGTGCATTTAAAATGATCCAAAGAGAGCTTCAATTTCTCTGGAGACATCGTACAGTACCAATCGGAATTCAGTCAAACGTTTATTCCTCTGCCCACGCTGTTTAGGTTGAGGAGCTCAAGATGCAACTTCACAAGAGAAAACGCTGCTATGGAGCAACCGTCGCTCCATCTCAGCCCCACAATCTGTCCATGCATAATCCGACTCCATCGATGATGGGCCATCACCCCTACGAGGTGAACATCAAACAAGAGCCGATGTCATTGTCCTCAAGCTGTCCGCTCTCCTCGCCCAAACATATCAAGAGCTCCCCGGGGAACTGCATGGAGGACATGGGACAATGCAACGCCATGATTCCAAATATGGGGGGAGATTGCGGGCCACACTGTATGAACGCCGCCCCTCCCTCGGCCAGCCCGTCCACCATGACTGCTTTCCTCAGTCCGCAGTGCTCACCGCAAGACTCACCCATCGGAAAGCCTTCCGGAAGCCCCCAGCCATCGTCACCAAGCAACCCTTACATGCTATCACCTCCAGTGGGGAGGGACGGCTGCAGTCACCCCGCATCCCACTGCGGCTCCAGAGGATGCATTATGCAGGTATGATGCAGTAAACTGGAAAAATGTGAGGTCGAACAGTAATCCGCAAACCTTAAATACCGTATTTTCCGCACTATAAGGCACACCTAAAAACATTCAATTATCTCAAAAGCCGAGAGTGCGCCCAGAGAAGCTTTGATAAGGTCAGATCGATACCATGTCAGTCAGTACACTTTTGGCGAAATGAAAATGGAGGATTACCGTATTTTCCGTAGTATAAGGTACACCTAAAAGCATTCCATTTTCCCAAAAGCCGCCCTATAATCCGATGCGCCTTATACATGGAGTTACAATCTCTTTATAGTCCCCATTGAGTTATTTCCCGGTTGGTGTTCCGATGCCATCTAGTGGTGATTATTAGCAGGAACCAATTGTAACCTAAAAGGGTTCTGCCCGACATGAATTGACATGTGCATTCGCTAACACACACTCCGACAACTACTTTGTGAGCTCTGCGCAGCCGTTATGAAAGGACGACAATACCAAAAGCATAGTTAACTACTGACTAAACGAAGGAAGAAGGAGACAAGCAAGATTTCTCAGGATATTTAGCCCTTTGTGGATGTGAGCCCACGAGGTTTTTGTGCCTTTTGTCGGATCAATTGTTTGTCTTTCATTTTTTTGTTTTGTCATGCCATTTGTACGTATATGTTTCATGTCCGTGTTTGCGACCGCTTCTCTTTAACATTGAGCATGCTCTCTTCCTACAGGTACCTCACAAGGGTGCTTGTCAACCCATCAACTGTTCTTATCCTACCGACCAAAGAGGCCTTCAGGGAGTTTATTCCAATCCATCAGATTATAGCCTCAATCACAATGGCTCAGCCAAGCCTGTCAACCCAAATATGCAACCAAAGGTAAACAATCATCACACAGACTCCTCCTGCTTTGTACTTTATTTCAGTGACATTATCGTCGCGTTCGCAAAACCACATCATCCCATGAACAAAGACAACCATTCATTGTTCCTTCCACTATTTTTCTCACGAGCTAAAAGACACCCGGGTGGTAAACTCCAGCTAAGAGCTAATGTCACTTTTCACCTGTTTCATGTAGATGTCATTTTTGCCCCCTCCTCGTCACGTTGGCCAAAAGTGCCACGTCTCCTTCAATAGCTCACATTCGTCTGACTTAAGCCGGCCCCCATGCTATGAGGATGCAGTCATGCAGGTAAATTTGAATCCAAGCTTAAAATTCTACAAATCGTGGCTGGCCCTTATTTTTTTTTGGGGGGGGGAGGGGGGGATACTGGCATTTCTCTGTATTCTGTTTCCTGAGACCCCTCACCTGTTGAATAACTTTCTTTTTGCATTTGCTCTGTCCTCTGCACTGTTTTTAGGTTGGAGTATATTTTTTTTAAAACATGCAAAATGGATGCAAACTGTCAGGCAAAAACAGCAAATATAGCGGCACCTCATTTCACGAATACCCTAGTCTTGGCATGGCCGCAGAAGGTTCATTTGTGCTATTTCTTGCACTGCGCAAACCCCATTTGCTCCATGCGTCACACATTGTGGATATCTTTGTTTTGGGGGAGATTTGCGAGCGAGCAATAATAAAGTGTTTTTCACCGGTTTTTATATTGCGCTGTCTTTAGCTTGAACCACACATGATCAAAAGAAGGTAAATGTAACTTTGTTTTGGGGCTGGAATGGGGAAATGGCATTTCCATTACCTAAGTTTTCTCACATTTCAGTTTACGAATGGTTCTCCCTTTTGAAATATATGCTTTTTTTTAACACAATGAATTGTTGCTCATGTTCACCAGTAAAACTACAGAAGCCTCATCATCATCAGACCACAATTCATAGCAAAGAACCGAGATGGCACCCACTCAAACATTTACCATTCCATAAATCCAACTCTCGGAGAGTAACAATTTAAATTTAATGCAAACAGTCTACAGGTCTTTGGTTTTAAAGAAATGATTCTATAATTGCTCTGCTAATCTCTTGACTGCTTCCTGGCTTTTGTCTTTTCCAAGTGAAATCACTCAACGCCATCATTTCAATTCACCGTTTATGTGTTACAGCAACTGACCAGAAGTCAGCAGATGGATGAACTTTTGGATGTCCTCATAGAAAGTGGCGGTAAGGTCACATTTTTTTTTTAAATGTCAAAACTAATTCTACCACTGTACATAAAATACACATGTAACCGCAAGTACACTCCCCCAACCTAATGGGATCCAATAAACAAACAAAAATAATAAGTCCAAAAAATTGCTTATGCTCCAATTTGACAACATCAGCATTCATATACAGCAATACGATGCATTCTGTTTCATTTCGGGTTTATGTGACTTTTCTCAGATTTTCCTGTTTCGTGGGCGGCTCTGGTCCCCATTAACCGCGATAAGCGAGGGATCCCTGTATTTTGTGACTTGAGCAGAGCAAAATATTTGCGACACGTCCTCGTATAATGCCGAACAGTTCAACACCGCTGTTTGTTTTGAATATTTGGATTGAAGTGACACTTGGTTGAATATGCTATTTGATGCGAAGCAGTCGAGGTATTTCTTTGCTAAGCAAAGCAGCCCGTGTTATTATTTCCTCATAAATATATGGGGCAGGTTCTCGGAAAAAAAAACACTACCTCGAACTGCTGCTGAGCAACAGTGAGCATGTTTGCAGTTTATCAATTTGCATTAGACAGATGACTTGACTAGGCGGGGACATATAAAGTCTTCAGCAGTGCTCTGCGTGGCGACAACTCACTGTCCTTTCGTCGCTACGTCAGCAGTGTAAGAAGGTGCCTGACTCCCTCGTGCTTTTGTTCGACGGAAAATTCAAATTAAATTAAATAATAAAGCTTTGCTTGAATTCCTCGAGCACAAATTATTAAGGCGTTACACAAAAAAAAAAAAAAAAAAAGGTTAAACATTACTGGGTAGTGTAACGTTCGCCCATTCACCCGATAACACATTTACACCGTTCCACGTTTACACGGTGAGAAAAATTACGACTGTCTTCACAACGATTCTTATGCCACCACCACCCACCCGCAGCTACCCTCGCTTTTCAACAGGCCAAAGGCAGAACAACTACTGGAGCCTAGATACTTAAATAGTCTTCATAAAATTGCTGATACAGTGAAACTCCTCTACAACGAAACCTACATGGGCGAAAATACCCCGAAGTGTGTGTGTGTGTGTGTGTGTGTGTGTGTGTGTGTGTGTGTCTGTGTGTGTGTGTGTGTGGGTGTGTGTGTGTGGTGTGTGTGTGTGTGTGTGTGTGTGTGTGTGTGTGTGTGTGTTTACATCTGAGATCAAATTTGCTACAGTGGAAAACCCCCTGTTGTGAAAAATTTTTTGCTGCAAACATGATTTCGTTGTCGAGGAGTTTCACTGGAGTAAAATAGCAACAGAATAAAACATCTTATACAAGCCAAACAATTTGCAACTGGTCAATTCAAATTTCTCAAATGGAGAACAAATAGTTAAATATATAAATTAACCAAATGTTCTCTCTGCATCACTTTCGCGACGTAGGTATCTTACTACACGATACCATAAATTCATTGTGCATTTTGAATTGCGCATCCATTGTCATTTGATTGTCATACGTGGGTAAGATGGAAAATTCCTTTCAATCTGTCAAGTTTGCAACAGCATCTTACTCCAGGATAGCCTTACAAAAGAATAGAAGATGAGCATTTTTCATCAATTCTTATTTTTAAAAAGTACCAGAATACAGCCCAAGATGCAAAACCCTTGTCAAGAGGCCTAAGCACTTTCTCTCCTCTGGTTGATATTGTCTATGATTAGCTGGCAACCAGTTCAGGGTGTACCCCACCTACTGCCCGAAGGCAGCTGGGATAGGCTCCAGCACACCCGCGTGCGGCTAAGCGGCTGAGAAAATGGGTGGATGGATGGATGACTGGTTGATCTTGTATGTCGGGACTTGCTATATATTGCATACAGTGTGTTAGCATTGTGTCCATTTTCATTGCAAATAAAGCCTGAAAAGAGGGAAAGCTATAAAACCCTTAATCAGCCTGAATGCATTTTGACTCAGTTTAATTATTGCCCGAAGTTAGCATAAAAATGTTAGCCCTTTAGTTTTCAATCATTCCTCATTAGACGTAGTACCTGGTTGCTTTTGCACTTTCTCCACTCTTATTCCTGCCTTACTATATCAGATGTTGAGACAAGACTTTCTGATATAGCTCTATTGAATCTTGTTAGATAATTCAGATGAGCAATCATGAGCAGGCCAATGTGTATTTTGGTCACTGTTCAATTAGCGATGGTACTCAAAGGCATCTGTAACAAAAGATTTAGCCTAGTATGGACCAATTTTTTATCTGATAGCATTGACATGAAACAAAGATTGCTTTCACAAAAATCAGTCGATATCTTGGTAACAAAACCGTGAAGCTGATGCGATACTCCCTCGTCTTCTTTCTCTTCAAGAGATGCCAGCTAACGCCAGAGAAGAGAAGGAGAGGTCCTCTGTAACCAAAGTCTTGCCTCACATTACTGTGTTCCCAGGGTACCCCAGCCTACTCGTCCCAAGGCTCCACCGCCACTACGAGCACCACTCACCCACACAGCTTCATTTTGACCACCTGGACACTCTGCTGGGTCCAATGAGCAGGGGAGGGGAGGCAACCTCTGTTAAGATGGCCACAGATGACAGGCACCAAGAAGACGAGGGAAACCGAGACAGCGAAGGATACAGCAGCCCCCATAATCACCAGCGCCATCCTCACCACCCCCAACAGGAGAAAGTCGGGGCCAACAGAGATCTGCTGGACACACCGCTTTCACCTCTCAACAAAGTGTCTGCTATCCCCGAAGTGCAGGGGATGGTCAGCATGGCTTTCAGTGAAACCCCGTGGGAGACGATGGAGTGGTTGGACCTGACGCCGCCAACCTCAACCGCTGCCTTCAATGTCCCAACGCCCATCGTGCCCAGCATTTTCAACGCAGAGTTCTTGGATGTCACTGACATGAATTTAAATTCTGCTATGGACCTTCAACTGGAGCACTGGTGAATACAGACAAGCCAAAGGCCAAGACACCAGCTTTTTTTTTGTAACTGTACAGATCACAAGAACCAGCTACGGCATTTTAGCGAAGAAAATCATCGAACTCCGAAGAGCCCAGGCCCCTCCAATCTTGATTCAGGCCAATCCTGATTCGTCACCAAAACGGACGTTATCATGATGCACCTTATGTGTATATGCTGCGGCATTCAGATCAATCCATTATTTAAGGAAAATATTTCTCAAACACACGATCGTGCCTGTTGAAAAAAATAATATGCAAGTTTTGGACGTTGTCCCTCGGCCCACCGTTATTCAAAGTTTTATGGAAATTGGTCAAGTAGTTTTTTGCGGTTTTTTTTTTTTTTTTTGCGGAGCAATCACATTCGACACTCAATGACACAGTTTTTGCATAAAGGAGCCTTTGAGAAAAAAAAAACATCTCATATACAAACAGTAATAGAGTCATAGATTTAAGACAGTAAAGTTCTCTCAAAAGACAGTGGAAAACATTGGTTTGTGTTTTTCCAGACGAGTTGTCGATACCACTTTCAAAACTGTATTTTTTCATCATTCAGTCATCCCTGAAAAAGCGAATTCCCGGTGAATATGAATTAAATATTCTTCAGACAATTACAGGTACCATAAAGCTTTATCATATACAACTGAGAAAACGTTGAACGTGTTAACAGCGTCGTTACTCGAAGCCTGATTTCTATTTGTACGTTTTGGGGCCTATGTTTGTGTGAATAACTTCAGTCTTTGAATGTAAATATGAACAAAACTCACTGTGCACCTTTAGTTTAATTGATACAGTATTTCATACACTTTGCTTTGTGGTATTAATACAAATATGCAGTGGGTATAAAAAGTCTGCACACCCATGTTGAAATGCCAGTTTTTTTGGTGAAAGAAAAAAAATGAGACCAAGATCACTGAATGTGACCTATATCCGATACTACCCAATTTTAAAAAATGAAATTAAATCTTTTTCAATCGGGAATGAAAAATAACTGAGATAATATTGCTGCACAAGTGTGCACACCCTCATATAACTGGGGATGTCGCTTTTTTTGTCAGAATCAACCAACCACATTCTAATTTATGATAAATGGGATCAAGAATATTCCTGCCACCATTTAAAATAACGTTCAATAAATGCAAATAAAGCTCAGATGTTCAAGTCGCCTTTCCATGATATAAAGGATTTTTTTTTCCGATCAAAAGCCTGAGGGGTTTGTTTTTGATTGATTTGTTGTACAAATACAAAAAAAAGATGTCAAACATAAATCAAAAGAAAAAAATTCCTCAATACATATTTTAATTCGGTGCAGTTTAGATGCTCAGTTATTAGGGGGGTGTTCACTTGTGCAAACACATTTAATCAGCTCATGAAAAGATGTCAATGTGCTTTTCAAATGGGTTGTAAAATTATAGGGCACAGTAACTGCAAAAAAAGATGTCATGATTTTTTTTTCTTGGTCTCTTTTTTTTTAATATCACAAAAACCTTTAAACGGGTGTGTCGATTTTTTTATATGCTCATGTGTACAGATGCCAGCATTCTTTGGAGGGACCCTTTTAACTCTTTAAACTCGTTTCATTGTTTAAAATATGTATCCTTGGAGTGACATTATTAAAAACAAAATGCCTTCGATTTTTTTTTTATCGTATCTATTTTAATCAGCAGAAATTGTGCATGTAACTATCATTTCTGCTTCCATGCAAACATTTAAAACAATGTCAGATCAATTTCATTGTAACCTTTATTTTTCTAACAAATACTTTTTATCCTTAAATGTTCACCCTTTACAACTCCAAGCCAGCCAGTTATTTATTTTTAATAATATTTGTATCCTTACATGTATTTATACCGACATTCCTTTCAATAGAGATTGCCGCCCATTTTGGATTGAATAGCAAAGTTCAGTGTTGCCATTTGACTACAGACGTTCATCTTTTAGAACGTGACGCAAACTGCAATACCCACTTCAAAATTAATCGTTTTCATAAATCATTTTCCCATCATAAATTGTCCATTACTAGCACTTGTGAATAATAAATGTGATATATAAGTGGACCTGTAAACAGACTTCTACTGTGAATACTGCCTGATAACTCACCACAGCTGGCTTTTACAACGTCGGTGCCCCAAAAAGCAAATCCACTTTGTTGCACATGTAAATACCACGCGTTTGACAGCTCTTTGCTTTCTTGCAGGGAATTAGTTTGCTCAGATGCAAGCCTACATCCGTTTCCCAAAATGTCAAACTGTAGCTTTCGGCCCATTTTCCATTTGTCACATGTTCTCTGCAAACATTGATCACCAATTTGTTGTCGCATCGGTCATGGTTATATACAACATTTTTATAAAAGCAGAACATTTCCCTGCTCCAAAGAAAGATAAATGGCTTCACACAGATCATTCGCTTCTTGGCATTTTTTAGGAACCGTGACAATATGTACACGTGATGAAAACATGTTTTTTTCTTTTTACAAAACAGTCATTGGGCGGAAAAGGGTTTATTGGAGATAAGAATATAAGAGAAATGGAAATCAATCATCCTTGGACGCCGTACTTTCGGTTTTATAATGTTTAAAGGGACCCTGACATGAACTTTGCAGCGACAAGAATCATCCTTTGGACGCCCTAAGACTGTATCAAAACACCTTTTCACGATATTCCGCCTCATTTTCGAAATTACAGATACCACTTGAACCGTCTACTGTTCGCCTCGCACTAAACGAGCGGATTTGGGTGAGCGTGGTCAAGTCTCGCCCGATTCCACATGCTTGTTTTCACACCGAATCTTTCACGTCGACTCTTATCCGTACCTGCACAGTTGATTGTCGGTGAGGGCGGAGTTCGTGCTGAGTTGAGTGACGTTTAAAATCGCGTATTTGATGACGTAAACCGAAAAAGGTGTGGTTAGTGACGTATAACTGATGCGCCCATTTGATAGTGCTGTTTGGTCGATGTGGACAAAAACACGGGTCGTTTTTCTCACTTAGTCAGGCTGGGCAATGCATATTAATGATTTTTACAAAAAAAACAATTGTTTTCAAGAAGCAGTTGTGAACTCCGAAATAGCAAGCCCAATGTTTAACAGTGTGCCATCTAGAGGAGTCAAAAAATACAACTGGTTCATGAAGGAAATGTGAAGCTTTGTTTTCCCACCACTCCATTCAATACTTGACATACCAAAACATAAATTGATATTTAATATAGGTCAAAACAGCAATTAAGTTCTGGAATCATTCCCCATCGTTTCACAACCTTACGATCAATATCAATGAGTATTGTAGCTATTCTGGAAACTTATTTTTAGCCTTCTGTATATTAAGATGATGTGTCTACCTTGCATCCGTGGCATCTGTTTTTGGGGGATTTATTTTGCAATAATTTTCCCCGCCCATGACAAAATTTGTGAAAAAAAAAAAAAGAACAAGAAAGAAAATAGTACATGCCTGACAGAAGCTGCAATGTTGCTTGGCCACTGACTTTCTGAACATTGCTTTTTTTTTTTTTTTTTTTAATTCCTGCATTCCTGTACACGACAGTAAAACGGCAATAAATTCACCACAGCAAAATACAGCGTGTACTTTTTCTTTTTATATTAAAAAAAAAAAAAAAAACACAAGTCCAGTCTTTTCCACAGGAACTTTATTGGTAACCCTCGATAGACATACAATATAATATTAATTGCCCTTAATATTATTTTATAATCTAATATGAACATTCTAGTAGATTGCAATTTATACAACATGTATCCCAGTGATCTGCATTCACTAGGGCGAGACAACATACCTCATAGGTGAGGAACAGATCAATTTTTTTTTTTTTTGGTAGGTTTGCACCATCTCCGCATTACAGATAAAGACAGACAGATAGTGACAGAATCTCCAAGTTGACCTAAAAGAGAGTACACTGACTCTAATGCAATGCATCTCAATGAATCTCAATAGTCCTAATTTATGACCTCTCTGGCCCCTATTCGGGAGATTCTGGCATTTTGATTGAAATACATAATCATGTAGTTTTTTTTTTCCATCTTCAGTGCAAGCCAGAGAGCGACATGCTTAGAAGAACATGCTGAGTCCACGGTTGAGTATCAAAGTTAAAAGTGATCTTTCACCACTCTCGACAGTTGTGGCTAAAGTGGAAGAGGACATCATTTAGCAGCATTTATTGGTGTTTTTTTTCTATGAGGTGGAAACCCTTGGGAGGCTATTTCTCAAATATACATAATTACACCTGTTTGTCTTTGTAATGCAGCATGGTGGATCTGTGATCAGTGTGGTTGAGCAATAAAACTGTACAGTGCCAAGACAGGATGCTAAGAGGCACCAGGGCCCGCTCACTCTCAAATGGAAAATTCCACTCCTTTTCTCTTTTTTTCTTTTTTGCAACCTGCACTCCCCCACCCAACATCTTTGCGGTTTTGTTCGACTCGGCCTGAATGGTCTTGCAAAACCTGCTAAGAACAGCAGATTAGATGCACTATATACATACACATATACATCAGTGGACATCAAGTAACTTTACATCAGGCAAGCATTGCATTAGCCAGTTTGTGGGTTGTCATTATTTTCAAGTCACAAGAGATAAGCATTTATTTGACGTGAAAAGAAAAATTTCCTAAACCCTTTTAGGGACAGAGGTTACGACAGTGGACAGCCGATCGTGTTATCAGGTTACAGGTTGTCATTATTTATGCGTCAAAGGGTTAATAAGCCCAAAAATATTTATTCATTCATTTTCCGATCCGCTTATCCTCACAAGGGTCGCGGGGGGTGCCGGAGCACCATCCCAGCTGTCTTCGGGCACTAGGCGGGGTACACCCTGAACTGGTTGCCAGCCAATCGCAGGGCACACAGAGACGAACAACCATCCGTGCTCACACTCACACCTAGGGACAATTTGGAGTGTTCAATCAGCCTGCCATGTATGTTTTTGGAATTTGGGAGGAAACCGGAGTACCCGGAGAAAACCCACGCAGGCCCCTGGAGAACATGAAAACTCCACACAGGGTGGCCGGAGCTGGAATCAAACCTGGTACCTCTGCACTGTGAGATCGACGCGCTAACCACTCGAGCACCGGGCTGCCGCCAAAAAATATGTTCAAAATATTTTTAAATCTGTTTCTCAAGTGAATCTGTTGAAATAGAAACATACTGTCCTTAACTTATGTGTTAACACCTTGCAAAATGATCAAGAATGAATGAATAACAACTTCCTATTTCGATACATAAAAAGATACACAAAATGGAGACGGTGTTGATTCCTTCGCAAAAGACAAAATGATCTGTCGGACGTTCGACTTCATCCAAGCAGACCGTTCAGAAATATTCTGCCTTCCTCTTGATTTTCTTGAATCACACTTGTCAATCGCTACCGTAAAAGTTATTGAACCATTCAGTCAGGTTCCGCATACAAAATCACAAACGAGACTCATGACGGGTTTCGAAATCTATGTTGTTGTGGCCAAAGACTCTCCCAAATAGTTCTAATAATATGCGAGGAAAAATGATGTCTATCTCAGTGACTTGAATGCAATGGCAGTACAGAAGAGGTGCAAACTAGGACGACCTTGAGCGTGAGCATTGCCTATTGTCCTCATTGTGTGGTTAAGACAAACACTCACAGATTCCACATTGAAGAGAAAAAGGAGGACATAAAGCCACACAACCATATTCATAATTATCTACCCGGACAAGCGCGTTTTGCATACTCATTTAGTTACCGTGGAGCCAAAGTCCAAGACGGGGCCGTGTGTGTGTTGACAGAGCTGAACACACAAAAGCATACGTACAGTCTACAACGCACAATCCAAAAGGTGGCTATTTTTAGTCATAGTCTGTTTGTTTTATTTGGTAGATTTTTTTTTTCTTTCCGTGAACAATGAGTGACTTGAAATAAGATGACGGTGTGGTAGAAGAAGGGTTGGCTTCACGATATCTATTCCATTGCACCACTCGTGTTCCTCTCTTCTTTGGAACGTGACTAAATCGGTGATTCTGTAAAAGTCCAGGAGCGAAGAATGCGGGCGTCACCGGGCGAAGTTTCTTACCCGCTGCACGGGTGGGGAGGACAGTGCGCGCTCACCCCCAAAAACGCCCTCAGTCCACATACATGGGAGAGGTGGGAGAGGCGGGGATCTGATCCAGTATGCGGCACACATAAGTGGCGACATCCACAAAACGCTCTTCATACATGAGAATGAACGGATGTTTCTGGGGAAAGACAAACACGCGCGATCGTTAATAATATAGATGAAGACAAAAACTTATATTATCACTCTAACGGGACAATTAAATCCGGTTCCACCAAACTGTACAACTCTATGTGCTGCTAATGAGCGGAACCAAGGACAAAGGGGAAATCTCTTTGAAGTCCAACCTCCCCATGTATAGGTTGGAATTCTCAACTCAACTCCATGACATTTGATATTCACTCCGACAAAAGGAGACACTTACCAGCAACTCCCTGTACTTTGGCCTTTTAGATTCATCCTTTGTAAGGCTGGGGAGATAAGAGCGTAATTTTAGATTCCTCCCCAAAAAAAAGCACGAAGTCATACACAGAAAGTATTCTTCAAAAAGGATGTTTAAAGACCTAAATTCTTTTTTAAGAGCCGTAAATGCTATTGCATGCCTAGGTTGTGTTTCTAGATTGGGGATTTCACTTATTGAAGTCGTGTTCTGGAACGTAACCCTCATGGAGGGAGATTTATTGGATTTTTTTTTTTCTACGTAATAAATTTATAACAACTACATTTAAAAAGTCATCCTAAACCTCTTTCCTCAATTACATAGAGAGTACAAGCAGTTTGTGGAGGAAGTGCTCCAACTGACAAGAGCCCTCAGCTATCCTGTGTTCTCCCCTGAAAATCTGATCTGTTGTTTTTCTGCTCAAGCTAAAACAATGTTACTTTGGCGCCATCTGGTGGCACATTTTGCATCGCGGCAACCTGAAATGATACTTCTGCTTCTTTCCTTACGCAGCTATTACTAGACTAAGTTTGTAAATGCCAAAATGTGAATTTAATGACTCACTTATTGTTTTGTAAAGTGCTAGTGATATATTTGCTTACCCATGTGTGATGTCACGTTAGTTTGCGCTAGCATGGCATTTAGGCTAATATGCTAACTACTATCATGTATTGATCTTAACATTTTTTTATCCGGGTAAGGAAGTTGAGAACAGATTCTCATTTGCAATAGCAACCAAGAGGCACTTTGACTGAATTTGAATTTGATGAACCTCATGTGATGAGAGTTTGTTGTGTTGAGGAAAAAAAAAAAAAAAGTACTGAACAGTTGCTTGTTGTTGGCATTAGGCGGACCCCTCTCGCCTCCAAAGCCATTACTTTTCAAGAGACCAAAATAACGACATGTTTGTCCAACTATTCACATTGTATCCATTTTCAACACTTTAGATTGATCAATCATTTGTTTAAAAATTACTTTCAAACTTTCACTATTCGAGACAGGGCTCGTAAGACTGCATGAATAAGGTGACTTGACTTGGATGTCATGTTCCAATTTTATGGTTGGTGCCTCCAGTGTGGCAGGCATTGGGAGAGACAATTTAAATTAAAACTGCATGACTTTTGCTTACCATAAGTTCACAAAATTGATGAACTTCGGGGAGAACTGCCTCTCCTCAGAATTACTGAGCTGTGGAGGCTCTCCTTTCACCACTTGCGTCAGCTGATCAAAAACACTGTTCCACTTGGGGTATGGAAACCTGCCAGTGGCCAGCTCATACTGGAAGCAAACACAAAAACCGTATGAGTTTAAGATGCCGAACAATCTGAAGTTGGATAGCACTGCAATTCCATGTGGTGCCGACATGATACAAAAAAAGCCGTGATTTCGGTGGTGGAAGGAAAGGGATTTCTTACCAAGGTGATTCCCAAGCTCCATACATCCGAGCGGACATCGTAACCTTGTCTAGAGGCACTGGGGTCTATTCTTTCAGGCTGAAAAACGCACAATCACAGCATAGCCCTCATGTAGAGTTGATGGTTTACACTCGATTGATAAAAAAAAAATAAGTAAGGACACACCGAGTTCCAGAACACGACACAAATACAAACATTATGAATGTAAAAAGTAATATTGTCAGCAGATCGTGATGTTTCGTTTACATCCATGTTGATTATTTTTCTGCATTTGAGCCCACCTTCTTTCATCAATCTGATACATAGTTGTAACGGGTTGGCATGTCGGATAAAGAGATGGATGTAAACTCGTAATTCTTTTTACTTACTGCCATGTAGGGCCTGCAGCCGGCATCTCTGGTCTTGGCTATGGAGTCCACGAGCTGGCCGCTGATCCCGAAATCACACAGCTTGATGTTACCCTTTCGGTCCATGAGAATGTTGGAAGGTTTGATGTCTAGAATGGTTGAGGGTGACATTTTGGTTCAGTCCAACTTTCAAGAAAATTCTGTATCATGACGATTATTATGCAGGTAGAAATTAAAACCTCACGTACAATCAAAACAAACAAAAAAATACGATCAGGGAGGCGCATTGTAATGCAATTTTTTCAATGAGAATTCTGTTGATCATGTGGGATTCAATTTTGAACAGTCCTAACAGGGATGTGTAATTACCGTATTTTCTGCACTAAAAGGTGCTTTGGAGTATAAGGTGCACCCTCAATGAATCCCCTTTTTAAAAACTGTTTTCATGTATACGGTGCACCACATGACATGGCGCATAGAATAGAAGCTACTATAGCTGCTGCGGTTGCGTTAGGCATCCACTAGATGGTGCTACGCTAAAGAGAATACAATACAATACAATACAGCGTTTATTTATACAGAGTGTTCTCAACCGTTGCGGCTGTAACAAAGCGCTTTACAGAACATTTAAAATACTTCGTCCAAGAAATCAGAATCTTCTTCTTCTCCTTTCGGCACGTCCCTATTCAGGGGTCGCCACAGCGAGTCAGTAATTTCCATCCGCCCCTGTAAACCGTCCTACCAACTCGCATGGTCGTCTTGGCAAAAGTTTTACGCCGGATGCCATTCCCGACGCAACCCTCCCCATTTCTCCGGGCTTGGGACCGGCACTGGGGAACAGTGCACCCCCAGGGGAGGGCACTGCTCCCCAACGGCTGGGTTGTCCAAGAAATCAGAATATGGATCCATATATAAGGCACATCGGATTATTAGGCGCACTGTCGGTTGTGGAGAAAATTGAATGTGTTTAGGTGCGCCTTATAATGCAGAAAATACGGTAATCAAAATGTGAGCGGGATTTTGGCTTCTCACGATCACAAAATATCAAGAAACGCCATTAATGTGCTGAATGGGGTGTTTACAAGTGCTGACATTTTGAAACAAGCAGGAATGCATCGTGCTGCTTATACGGCAAATTTGTGACAATGTTATTCCGCCCTCTCTGAGCATGCTTTAAACTGCTTTATGAAACCCCATTCGACATTAACTGTAAAGCTTAACACACAACAAAAAGAATTACACACAGTGTATATTTAAACACAAGACATACTCCCTATACACAACACATAAAATACAAACAACGAGCTCACCTCTGTGAATTATTTTCAAGTTTTCCTTTAAGTGGTTCAGTGCTTTCACGGTCTGTTAAAAAGGCACAAAACCCCAACTATGATTCTGACAATATGCACAGTATCACATTAAAACACACAAAGGAAAAAGCGTCATGCTCTACTTACCGCTAATGTTATTTTGCCTAATATTTCCTCTGGAATAACATCATCGAATGCACAATATACATATTTATAAAATTTGTCTAATGAGGTAGACATAAGCTCCATGCAAATCCAACAGTCCCCCTGAAACAAAAATAAAAACCAAAACGTTTTAACACAAGACATCTTTATAAAAAACAAAAAGATGATAAGACACACACAACACACCAAGAGCACATTTTGCCATGTTGCCCGAGGTTTGTCATACCTCTCTGAAGAGCGCCCCGTAGAACTGAACAATGTATGGACAGTCGCTACTCCTCATCACCACGTCGAGATCCATCAACAGTTGCTTTTGCTCCTTTTCATCCACAGTGGAACGAATCCTCTGAGGGCAAAAATAGCACAACCACACATCGCATTTTTGTGATCGGTTTTAACTTTGAAGGAGTCAAGATGCAACCGCGATCTTCTATTAAGACGCGTCGATGATTCCGACGCACTTACCACAGACATCGGCACTTCAGAAATAGTACGTCACTAAGTGTGCACCTGCTCTAACGTCAACTTATTTTATGATGTGGGTCATATCTTCGAAATTCTGTTGTCACAAGGGCAATATTTGCCAATTTCGGGAGTCACCTTGACTGCCATAATCTGGCCCGTGGGTTTGTGGACCATCTTATTGACGGAGCCGTACGCCCCACGGCCGATCTCCCCGAGGTCTCTCAGGTCCTCAGCCGTGAAGTCGCAGTGCTGCTCAGGAGAAATCTTCAGCTTCCCTGACGATTCAATGCTGTGTGTCCTCAGCCGCTCTCTACAGGACCGTAAGGATGGGACAGAAGGGATGAAACAAGACGGAATCAATTAGCAGAGGAAGTAGCAAATTAGGAGGAGGATGAACCCAAGAGATAACTGTCATTATTGATTTAATATTATCTTATATTTTTCGAATCACAAGGCGCAGTTCAAATCCTTGAATTTTCTCAAAAATCAACAGTGCGACTTGTCATCCGGTACGCCTCCTGAATGGATGTCGGATTTTTAGTTTGTCGTCTGTAATTCAAATTCACTTTCATCGCTCCCGGGCAAACATGTTTTCATCATACCATAACTAGAACTACTTCCTGCTTCCTTGTCTATGAATCATGAGAAATGTAGACCTACCAGCCTAAAGCTGTAGTCACAACAAACGGCGTGTTTCAATGTTACAAATGTGGCACAATATCATGGCGGTCGATGTAATGGGCAGATAAACAACAAAGCAAAGTTCCAATAGCTGCTGGGATTGAGCAAAAAAGGAGCAGGTTTAGATAATGGCGAGCGAGGAAGTTAGCGTATCTTCTCAGTGTACTGACTTGTTGATAGCTGCTGAATTTTCAACCAAGATTGCATTTCGCAGCCATAATAACAAAAAGTACCGTATTTTCCGCTTTATAAGGCGCACCTAAAAGCATATGATTTCCTCAGAAGCCGACAAGGGTACCTTATAATCCGATGCGCCTTATATATGGATCAATAGTCTGATTTCCTGGAGGTATTATTTTAAATGTTCTGTGAAGCGCTTGTTACAGCTGCAGCGGTTGTGAAAGCGCTATATAAATAAAGCTGCATCGTATTGTATTCCATTTAGGGTAGCTCCATCTCGTGGATGCATAACACAACCTCAAACACTATTGTAGTTTCTATTGTAACGCGGTGCGTCCAATATATGAAAACTGTTTTAAAATAGGCCGTTCATTGAAGGTGCGCTTTATACTCCGAAGCGCCTTATGGTGCGGAAAATACGATACTTTTATATCATTGTGCAGGTAATACGGTATAAGAACACAACGACCGGTCACCAGATTGATGAGCAATGTCCAAACTTTTTTTTCGACTGTCGGAGGAGTCCCCTCCTTCTCGCTTCTCCGATCGAAAACAAACTCCGCGTGCACGGTGAACAAAAGTGCATGAGGTCTGGTGTGAACCTAGCATAACAACGCTAAATCTATCAAACACTCATACGGTAAAATTTGAATAAACTATTTGACATACAATGCTTCACAAAGATAGTGCGCCTCATGTCTGAAAATGTACGAAATTGGACCCGTTCGTTTATATTGTGCATAATAATCTGGTGGGCCTATTGGTGCGAAATATATAGTCGTCATTTTAAAGGTGGAAAAGGTTCCATGAAATGACGTTAAGAGTTCTGTTGGGTTGTATTGAATTAGTCTCAGTGAGTAAAGTTTCAAACTTGAACAAAAAGAAAAACATTTTTGATCTGTCAATAGTTGATGAGATGTTGACTTTGGGTTTATTGAAGGAGGTATGTGATTTCAACTCTGACACACACTTGAATCACGAGGATTGATTTTTTTATTTTATTTTTTTTGCCATGACAACGGCCAAAAAATTATAAACCCAACATTGGCCGAGCCTACTCACATGTGGGGGTTCTGGAAGGAAGGGGGCGTCGGATTGAGCGGAAGGCGGGATGCTGGCTTCACCGGAGGGCTGGCGAAATTCAGCTTCAGCGCTTTACGTTTGCCTGGCGGAACAAAAACACAGACGGGTCCATATTGCCACAACCATGCACATCTCAATACGATGCACTGCAAAACATGGCGTGACGTGTCAAGCGATGCGGCGTTATATAATGCTCAATAACTTCCACACTAAAGGGTACAGCACCCAGCCACAACATTATATGACCCCTTGCACGACAGAATGGCATCTGAGACGAGAGCTGTACTGTGAAACCATAAAAATGAACATCTGGATAAATAAATATCACTCAGATAACGTCAATCAAAAAAAAAGGCACTAGATCATGAACATTTGAGACAACTGGATATCATTTCATCGTGCAAGTGATAATAATTCAAGTTGTGGAAGTAATTTGACACCAGGCAGGTCAGTAACTAATGGAAAGGAGGAACAGAACGAGGAATCACCCATGTTAAAAGTTTTGGGGAAATTAAAAAACTAATTAAGTGGCTCTGCGCATCATTTTTGACCCCGTGAGGATTCGAGAAAATCCGAAATACATTCAAAATGATTCAAACTCGCACGCCAACATCATATATTTTTTTTTAAAGAAGCATTGACGATAGATGCTCAATACCAATAAGATGTTAATTAAGTGGCTCTGCGCATCATTTTTGACCCCGAGGATTGGAGAAAATCCGAAATACATTCAAAATGATTCAAACTCGCACGCCAACATCGTATCTTTTTTTTAAAAAGCATTGACGATAGATGCTCAATACCAATAAGATGCATATATGTGCGTAATGTGAGGATCCCACTGGGTGTGACTTTTATGACCATGAGCCACAAGTAATGGATCATGGGAAATTGCGATTCCCAGGATGACACCAGCTGAGAATCCCTGATCTAGAACAAATCATTTCCCCCCTGTGACGGAAAGTGCCTGCCACATTCACAAGTGTTACGTCCTCTTTGCCATGCCCCTGTTCAAATCAAGCGCAAAGCGATTCCAATACTATCAAGTACTACTCCAAACATGGCGTTCTTGGGCAAAATTGAGTTAAGCAAGTGGAGAGTGGACAGACTCCCAAATTACCAAAGCACCACACAGGCTGCCTCAATAGTATACAGTGGCTTCCTTCCCATCCATTTTGACGTGTCAAATAGAACAGCTCTCCATTCAAATGTGCCTCTGACAGCAGCCCGTCATGACGAACGGTGTCCAGAAGCCGAATGACAGAAGCGAGGGAAACCACCTTAGACTACTGAGGTGTACGTGTACCCACAGAGAGATTAGCGTGCAAGTTATTTGCTTACTTTGGGAAACTCCAGACAGGCTTATCTGAAATCCTGAAGTAAGAATCAAAAGAACACACATTTACTTTCGATTTGGTTTCCTTTACGACTGCGTCGCGATTCAAAAGTGTATTTTAGGTGGGTTGGTTGATTAAAACACTGTGAAATATTTTTGCCGTTGCGATGAATGTGATTCATGACGGGATCTTGCCATTTTTTTTTTTTCGTTGTCACTACACAACACCACAGACACCTGTTGAAAACGGACAAATTGGATCATGTTATGTCTGTGCTGACACTGCCGCTGATCGGTTGAGTTTTTAAACGTGTCATTTGGGCGTCTGTGCTTGTGGGTTGTTGCATGTCTTCCATACGCCTTATAAGAGACGTTTCACTCAAAATGTACGTGGAAATAGACCGACAGTATATCAAATATCCGAATCGGGCCCTTGGATCTGGATTGTAAATCCAGCCTGAACGTCTGTTAACATGAATAAAAGTAACGGTACGGTATGCTGTCCAGTGTATTATTGTCTAAAAGAAAAAAAGAAAAAAAAAACATTTAGAAAAGGAAACTTACCCAACAACATGCAGCTTCACGATATAAATAAAGATGCAAAGGTCAGTCAAACCTCAGTTCATGAACTTCATTTGTTGTGTGACTCGGTTTGCAAACCAAAGCAGATGTTCCCCCTCTCATTAAATAGGAATAGAATTAATCCGGTCTAAGCCCCAAAACAAATGTATGTTTACTTTGTTTTGTGGCTTTGCGTACGACATCTTTAGCTGCTTTTACTCCCGCTTTGCTTTTAAGAATAATACAGATCCCGCCAAACAAAATTGTGGAGCAAATTCAGAAACACGAACACGATTATGTTCAGGTATTATTTTTTTCTTTGTCCAACTGTAACAAGATTAGACTTCCTAATAACACCATGACTTGAATTTTCACTTTATTGGGAGCCATACTAATGACTTTGTTAGAGCAAAATGGTGTAAGTAAAATTTAGTACATGACACTGGCAACGAACGTATGTTGGAGAAACCATAACGGTTTATTCTTTGCTGACGCTGTGACTGCTCGTGAATGGATGCAAAGTTCAAGAACCGAAGCAAAAATAGTTTGAAAAGCTTATTGGTAATTTTGTTTGCAAGTGTCATTCATGAATCGAGGTGTTGACTGTGCACATAAATTACAATTTTAAATAATAATACCATAACAGAAGAGTGTTTGGGTACGTTTTTAGATATTGATCGTATTTGCGATTATAAGACCCAAAGAAAGTGTAAAAAAAGTAAAACAGATCACTTCCAACACCCTAGTAAGATAAATGTGAATACCTGTTTCATTTTGACATCTCCAGCAGCTGTTGGTTTCTGTAGGGTTTAGATCAAAGATTTGATACTACACATGTGCCACAGCTTAAAATCATGCAAATACACATTTGTGAATAGGACCATGTTGCTATTTATCATGTCATGATGGAAGGGGGTGGGGCAAATCATTCAATGGAAATGTCATCCATCAGCAACCATCAATGCATCCCTCACCGAACATGATGCTGCCTAATGTGCCATTGCACTTTGTCAAGAAAGTGTGAGAACATTGGATCTGCAGATTGACACATTTGTCATTCTGAACCAAGGAAGTGACCCTTCCCATGATCCTTTCCGGAGACTTTAACAACAATATAATACATTTAAGAATAGATAACACATCCAATAATAAATCAGGATTGAAAGCAGATTTACAACTTATAAGGTGGGTTTAATGCTTCATGGAAATAATACTTGATCTAAATCTGTATTGCATTAGGAAAGTGTAATTAGCTCGGGTCAATCACTAGCATTGATTCATAAAAGTCGGGTGACGAGACGCATGTATTATAATTAATTTGTAGTTCAGTTGTAATGAGATATTGTGCGCATAACAGTGGCGTGGCTGAAAAGAAATACTTTCAATGCAGGCCTGGTTTGCTCACTGCTAGTTTCAGCAGAACGGCAGCACCGTCAGTGACGTTGGTCCTATATTTACTTATTAAATGCATTATTTGCGTTTCTAAACATCCTAGTTTTGTAGTAACGGGGATCGTGACAAACGAGGGCAATACAAGTCTCCAAGATGCCAAACAGGCCCGGCGATGCAGCAGCTAAACGAGGCTACTGCATCATTGCTAACCTGATAGCTGTGAGTTGTTTGTGGAGCTGTTTGAAGTTAGCTAAACCAAGCAAGGGCGTATGCGGAAACGGTTAAATGTATACTTCAACGTAAAAGACTACACAGACCTTATTGTTATTATTATTCGTGTTATAATTCACAAACACGTGACACGGTGTTCATAGAACGTTTCGTGTCTATATGGTTTACATTTCGATTTGTAGTCCATGGATTTATTCGCGTGTCAAAGCAATTCATTTAGGATCCAACAATAATTAGGATTTTATTTTGAAAAGTCCAGGTACATAGTCCGATATCAATCTATCTACTTTTACAACTGTTCCTACTTATGGGAGCTACTATGCTACATTTCCTTACAGCTCGCGTTTTAAGATAGACAAGATAAAATATGTTTGTGTACCTTGCATACTGCTACTCTGTGTCTGCTGGTGGAATTGGTGCGACGCGGATCCTACAATGCTGAAGCTGTTGCTGGAGCTGGAAGAGGTGCTGTCAGGACTGGGAGTCGCCATTGTTGTGTTGGGTTCCGGCAGCAGCTCTCGGGCTGCAATGCAGATAGTGAAACTTCGCCCTCTCGCTGCCTCCAGACGGGACACTGCGCAACTTGAACGCAGCAGACGCGATATGGCCACGTCTTTGCTGACGCTGCCTTCACGTACTGTCGGACAAACCAAAATCTCATTACCCACCGCGAACAACGTCCACAATCTTTCCCCCTTAAAAAAAAAAAAATAAACATCAAATGAATCCTGTTTATTACTCTAACTATTGGCTCATCTTGGACAGCAATGGTGTATTAATTTCTCCGTATGAGTCATATTAATCTCAACGGTGCCAGATTATGCCGGGAGAAATCATGAGGTGTGCCGCAATTAATTGCACATTTACACTTAATTGGTCCGGGAATTATTCAAACCGAATGATGTATTATCTGTATTAATGCCAATGATGTCGAGAGACAGGCAGACCGATTACAGTAAATGCGCAATCCGCTAGATGGCAGAAGACACAAATTAATCACTGCATCCCACTTTTACTTTTCATTCAACAAGCAAAAGATTTGTGACTAGCAAAGCAAATCCTATTTTCACAGCGAGTACATTTCTGAAAAGGTTGAGACGATATATATATATATATAAAATGCAACTCCTATGTAGCCAATTTAACCAACATGATGTCATTTAGGGAAATGTGAAATTTAAAAAATATTTCTCCAACAATAATTGCTCTTCCTTGTTCAACTCTTACTAATGTGGTCAGTATATTTTTCTGATTGACTACAGATTGCACCAAAATAATAAGATGCTCTTGAAAGCTACTGGTGGGGTTGGGGATAAAAATATAAAAACTGAAAAATATTTTACATTTTGTTTTTGTGTTTATCCTGGTGAGTACTAGTGAGTCCACAAATGTCTTTTGTGCTCTACTTCACATCTTGTCAGTAATCTCAATCAACATTTTCGGTGTGAGCTTGTCATGTCACCAGAAAAACAATAGCTTGCAAAAAAAAAAAAAAAACACAAAAAAACAGTCGCCACAAACGTTAAGACAAGGCATGTGCATATAAGAGACAGGTAAAATGCCAGTGATTTAAAAATAATCAAATGAATAAAATGTCAGCAAACTGTTTTATTTTTAATCAAAATGTTTTCCAGTGCATTCAAAATTTACCAGATATTGCAAGTGAAAATAAAAGTGCTACAAGTGTGTGAAACATATGCCCTGATGACACTGTGTCACCTCATAAAACATTTGTTTGACAATCATTAATATTTACTCAGTTCAGTGCAAAATAATTCATGTCCAAAGTGGAACAATGTTGCCTGAAAGATTCATCTTCCTCACGATCACCCACCTTGTAAGTTTACATACATTATGTCAAACGTACATGCAAAATGACAGCCGACACAGTAAATAAAACGTTTAGTAATCTTTGGTTGTCACTGCCTCACAGACAGGCAATCAAGGAAAGAAAATGTCAATATCTGGAATCCTCCCGACCCCCTTCAAGACCATCTTGTCATCATACACGGAGACGGTGCCGAACGCGTTGCTGTCTGGTGGCGTCTCGATGACTCCCTCCAGCGTAAGGTGGTGGATTCCTGTCCTTTTATCCAAGCAATATCCACCATCATGATCATGCCCGGCAATGAAACACACCACACAATTGTGGGCCTGGATAATGGATAGGAGCTCATCGAAATTCCAGGCCAGGCACACGGGCGTTGTGGAGAACGGGTGGACTGGGAGGTGACCTGCAAAGTCAAACAGGGCCATAAACGACTTTTGAGATCTCCAAATATTACATTTATGTTACCTCAAATTGGAAATTTTTCACTTTTTAGACACACCCACGCTTAGTAGCATTTGTAGTACAGTATAAGCCACTAGCTGACCAAAAATGGAGAACGGGCCACAAATGACCCACAGGCCAGACTTTGGGCACCAATGCCTTAGACAGATAAAACGATTAACTTTTCTATCACTGTGATCGATGGATGCTGACGCAAAGGTAGTAAAAAAAAAAAAAAAAATACAACAGGACTTACTGACAATGGTGACTTTCTCACGTTTCTTGTCGGCCGAGGTCAGAACAGATTCGAGCCAGTCCAGCTGGGCTTTGCTGAAACCACCATTGAACTTTGAGAACCTCTGCTCCAGGTCATCAAATGATACTGGGATAAGTACAAAAAAAAGGAAAGAAAAAACATTCAAGCCATTTGTTTGGGGAAGGAGCAAAACTAATAGTGTGACGGCACAAATTTAGTTTTTATTTGTGTGTGTGTGTGTGTGTGTGTGTGTGTGTGTGTGTGTGTGTGTGTGTGTGTGTATATACAACACATTGTACAACTTTAGGCCGGCTCGCTAATGATTGTTTACATGATCATGAGACAATTCATGTTTCGATTAGTTAATGTGCGTTCGTTTTACCACAAGGGAAGTACGTTTGACGTCATGGAAAAAAAACGTCTACATTATGTTATGTGTGGTTACCCGGAGGGGAGTTGAGATCCTCGTTGTTGTTGTGTTGTTTTATCCAATTTAAAGCACCGTGGTACTGCACACTGTCCTCATCGACACCAAGCAAGCTCACGTCATAAGCGTCCAACACGACAAATGTGAACCCGGGGAAGGGAGTGAAGCTATAGGCGTAGATATCTCCACCGGCCCGGGTTCCACTGAGGCTGGTGTCGGCAAGGACGGAGCTGTTCAACTTGGATCGCAACAGCTCGCTTCTAGTGAAGTTGTAGAACTCGTGGTTGCCCCAAACATGATGCACCTCTATGGGACTGAGGCTGAACTCTTCCAAGACTTTCTCCACTGCTCGGCTGGAGGCGCCGCGATCCTTGTTAAACCCGTCGATGATGTCTCCCAGCTGAATAATGAACTTTGGACGTGGAGCCGAGTGAGACCAGCTCTCCCGAGCTTTTCTGAGCAGCTCAAGACTACTTCGGTAGTATCGCCTTCTTGTTTGGCTGAAATTGAGCCCGTCGTCCATGTCGGCGTACTGAATGTCGGCTATCACGCCGAATGTAAACAGTGGCGCTCGCTGACAACTGTCGTCCATCGCCGGTCTTTTCTTGGCTCACAACGGTGTGCTTATGGGAGTGTTGCAAGTGTACAGTGTACGTCATCCCTTCACGTGTTACGAGAAGTCACGTTCATCATTGCTTGTCATTTCTTACACGTCAAATTCCGAAGACGTTAGCTTCACGTTGAGTCAGTGGTCGTGTGCCCTTATTTCATTTCCGGCTTGGTACCTTCAAAAGAAGTAAAAGAGTGGCATCAGAGGGTAAAAGTGCAAATCAAGAAAGTTTCAATTAACGATTATCTTCAGAGGCGGGAGATAATACAGAAACATGACTTTTATAAGTGTAAATTGAGGGGTTCGTTGTTTATGAATGGATGGCTCTACGTTAAGAAACGGCAAAAGGAGAGATGGACTCCGTTTAAACGCGGCTTTATTTTGAAACGCCTGCTCCGCAGTACGATCGAAAACACACCTTCCTGCTTTCCTTTTCTTCAGCCAATCAGAAGCTAGCAACATAAAACCTTGTCTCAGCAATTCTTAAACAACAGAATGTAATTTAGGTAATCTTAACATGAAATAATGGGACGCTCAAACATGAAATGATAATCCAGGTACTTAATAATATAACATAAATTTACATAAACTTGGGTGATTTCTGTAAGCCACGAAAAGTGTTTCTCTAAACACTTGCGTTTCTCTTAATGGCCAAAAGGCGGCGACTAAATTATTCTGACAGAAGTTGCATCGTGACGTATGTAAAGTACTGCGATTACTAACCAAAGATTTAGAAAAACTTTATTTATTCTAGTGAGCAACGTGGATGCATAGAGCAACAACGGTATTTGACACACGTTTGCAACATAAATAAACAATCAATAAAATAAATACATTTCACAGGGTACAAAGGGTGTGGTGGAATCAACACACTGGTATGCACGATGCATTTACATGTCTGCACTAATAAGTACTCATGACATTACATTAGGTTACAACACACATTATATATTGTAACACTGTTTATATAGAGCAGAGGTCTGGACTCTCAGTGTTCTGTGAGTGAGATAATCCAAGATCCAGAGAATGATCTGGTCATCCAGGTTTAAATTCTGATGGAGTCAGTCTGCTTGGACGTGTGGCTGCAAGGTGTTCAATGCAGAGAATTCTGTCAAAAGACGTCTGGCCGACGTGTTGGAAAGCTTTGAGTGTTTGTGGATGGTACTGATGATGTCCGTGGACCTGATGTACAAATTGGAGGTGGTCGAGCAGTGAATCGGTCTAGAAGAGAATGTGCTGTTCATGACCCTCAAAAATGGCCGTCACCAAGACAGAATTATTATTATGATTAGTGATAATAATCATAATAATATTAACTCATTCAGTGCAGACCATTTTCAGACCCTCCTTTATCCTACCACATTAAAAAAGACGGACCTGGGATTGGATTCTTGGATTCATAAAAAAAATAAAAAACGTCCCCGAGCTGAATTAGTTCATTAATTAATTTAATTTAATCAAGAATCAAGAAAACATGCAAACTCCACACAATGTCCATATTGTCCTAATTGTATATATTCTTTTCATGCTCTTCTAGAATGTTCCTGTATGACTGACTGGGCGGTTTGTTTCTTGCAAAAATTGAAAACAAAAATACTCAATTAAAAAAAAAGAGTTTGCTTATCATCACAATATATGATTGGGATAATTTACTGTTTTGTGCATTCAAATACAGTATTATTATCCACCCATCAACTTACTAAACTGCTCGCTCTGTTCAGGTTTTTGCGGAGCTGGAGCCTCACCAAGTTTACTTTGTGTGAAAGACAGATGACACCCTGGACTGTTTGCCAATCAGTCACAGGGCTATTATCCATCCATACATTATCTGATCCGCATATCCTCACGGAGGTTGAGGGACAGGCTATTATTATTATTATTATTATGATCATGATTATTGGTGGTGATACAAAATCATAATTCCCATTTGCATACTGACAACACACCCTTGCATTATGGCAAATGACATAAAATAAAATAAAATAAAAGCCATATGGAAAAACAACTGTAACATTGACCATTCGCAGGCAAATGATTGGCTGCATTTGCACAAAT